TTTTTTTTTTTTTTTTTTTTAATGTTTATTTATTTTTAAGAGAGAGACAGAGACAGAGTGTGAGCAGGGGAGGGGCAGAAAGAGAGGTAGACACAGAATCCGAAGCAGGCTCCAGGCTCTGAGCTGTCAGCACAGACCCCAACACAGGGCTTGAACTCATGAACCATGAGATCATGACCTGAGCCAAAGTAGGATGCATAACCAACTGAACCACCCAGGTGCCCCATTCATTGTTTTCTTTTTATAGATGCTTATGAAGCAGGTGCAAGATAATGATCTGAGGAAGACCTTGAGAGTCAGTCTTTCTAAAATATGGAAAATACCACCTGTCAGATATTTTTTTAGCATTAATGTTTTTTCTTTGAGGATTAAGAAGTACCTTAAATTTACTACTCTTTTAATCTCCTGTTTTGGTCTTTTTCTTTTAAGAATCTTTGAAGTTTACCTGTAAAATCAAGTTTTACATATAATTTTCAGAATATTTGATTTGTGTTGGCATATGTTTGTACTTCTCAAACTTTTTGCCTAAAGTGGATGCTAAAGGAGAGTGAATACATATCTCTTAGGAGATCTCTTCCACTGAATTATCTTGCCAAAAGTAACAAATAGATTTGAAATCTATTTTATCTTGAACGTACATGACTTTTATCTTCTACATATCTTTGTTTCTTTCCACTGAAATGTTTTAAGTCATTATTTAAGTTACTTACCTTCATCCTCCCACCCCTTAAACTTTGGAGCTAAATTTGAAGGTCCAGGACCTTCAAGCCTCCTGAAGCTTCGTTGCACTCTCTGGCACACTCATGAATAGTCTCATGGATAAGGTTGCCTTAGATTGAGGAGCAAGGAATGAGATTGTTCCTGCTGGTTACTTTGAGGTCAGGTTTTAAAAGAAATAACATTTAAGTCTAGGTTTAGAATATTAATTTTGTGTCTGATAAACAAAAAAAGTTAATCTTATTAGCTGCCTTCTGTTTTGATTTTAATCAAAGAAATATATGTGCATGGTAGCAAATCTAGTAGTCCAGAAGAATTTGTGAAAAAAAGCAACGTTGTCTTTCTTACTTCTCTGTACCTCCTAGGTCCATTCTTCAACTGTAACTTCTTTAGCCATTTCTCCAGTTCTGTTGTGAATTCTTTCGGGAGTCATTTCCATATTCCAAGAAAACCCCTGCGGAGTGAGGATAGGGGTTCTTAAGAGGGAAGGAAAATATATTTGCATGCTCAATCCGCTATCTTGACTTTAAAAGTATTTTTTTCTTTCAAGATTTTATTTAAATTCAAATTAGTTAACATATAGTGTAATATTAGCTTCAGGGGTAGAATTTAGTGATTCATCACTTGAATATAATACCCACTACCCATCACAACAAGTGCCCTTTTCATTGCCCATCACCCATTTATCCCATCCCGCCCCCCCCGCCCACCTCCCCTCCAGCAACACTTAGCTGTTCCCTATAGTTATTAGGCTCTTAGGGTTTGCCTCCCTGTTTTTATCTTATATTTATTTTTCCTTCCTTTCCTCTATGTTCATCTTTTTGTTTCCTAAATTCCTCTTATGAGTGAAATCATATGGTATTTATCTTTTTCTGACTGAACTAAGCATTTGCTTAGCGTAATACACTCTAGCTCCATCCATGATACTGCAGATAGCAAGATTTCATTCTTTTTGATGGCAGAGTAATATTCCGGTGTGTGTGTGTGTGTGTGTGTGTGTGTGTGGCGCGCGCACACACATGTACACACCATACTATCGTTATCCATTCATCAGTTGATGAACGTTTAGGCTCTTTCCATACTTTGGCTATTGTGAATAGTGCTGTTCTGAACATTGGGGTTCATGTGCTCCTTTGAATCACCATTGTTATACTTTTAAAACGTACTGTCTGTGAATCCAAAACAGCTAAGAAATATATTTTAAAAATTTATGTTAGTGCATGAACGGTAGTTTTTCCTTACCCACTTTCTAGCCTCTTTGTATTTCTTATAATTCATAAACTCCATATCCAACTTCGTTTTCAATTCTCTCTAATACTGTTTTTTGTTGTTTTTTTCTTCTGTTACTGGTAAAGTATCCATTTACTCTCTCAGTAATAGAATAGTAGAGTCAGTTTTTATCCAAGGAGTGGCAGAGATCCTTGATATTTATTAGCATTTTCACAAGTAAGCAGCCAAGCACTCAGCCACTATAGGTAGTCTCTCTTGGTACTTCACGACTACTCTAACCCCGTGTGATTAAGCATAAAGTTGCCTTAGGTCTTGCTGTAATTGAAGGGAAAGGAAGGAGCATCTACACTAAGAACCAGCTCGTGTTATTTCTTGTTTGCTGGGAGGCACTGCTCAGGTCCTTTTGTATTTATAGCATTTGAAATAACCTAACATTCAGTACTGTGAATTTGTTTGCTATTTTTTTTTCTTTCCTTGTTCATCAAAAATATTTTAAGAAGTAGTTTTATACTTCTGGCATTGAGTCTGTAACTTTAAACATTTACCCCCAGTGTGTGGTGACTTTCTCATTTTCATGTCAGTATCTGGGCTCTCCAGGCAGTACTTGCAAAGTTTTTTCTTTCTAAAAATCTTCTTAGGTTTTGCTTTAAAAACTCTGATTTTTTTAATCCCGTGGCCATCTTGGGAAAAATGTGTTCATTTAGCATTGTTTGTAAGTTTTATTTTTCTAGAGATCCTTTACGCTTCTATGTTTATATGCCTTCTGATCTAAAAACAAAATTAAAAGCCAAATACTAATGTTAAAGTCAAATGATAAATTTATTTTAAACCACAGCATTAATTTTTTGGAAGGTAAAGAATACTTTTATATTCTAAATTTTTTACTTGATCAGAATTTGGTAGAACCACTGTTGAAGCTTTAGAATATATATAAATGTATGCAACAGATATATTAGAAGAATGATCATTGAATATCAGTTGCTTATAAAAACAAAAAAATGACACATTTTAATCTGATGGTTCATTTTAAAATCATTTGAAAGGTTATGTAATAATCATAGCACTTTTTAGCAATCTTTTGGAATTTTATTCATTTTAGTTTCCTTTTCTCTGAAATAATGAAATTAGTCTGTTAAACTCAGCTTGGCTGTAGCTTGATGTGATGCATGAGCATGCTGTTTATGCAAGCTGAGTAGCTTCCAACAATAAAACAAAATTGTATTACAGAACAAATATTTGCATTCCTTTGGGAGGTAAGTAAATTCTCACTGAAACCACTGAAGGAGAATATTGGGGTGTGCCTGATTGTGGAGTTGTTTGCCTGTTGATTAGACCTGTGCTTCTCTCTGGGAGATCAGATCCTTGGTTCTCTACTGGTGATTTGCATCTCGTGACTGACTTAGTATTTGTCAAAGATTTGTGTAACTTGTTTTTCTTTACTAAGGCCCTTAATACTCTAAAGCAAAATACTAAAAGAGTACTGTTAAATGTTTAGAAGTTAAAACAACAAAGATTGCATTTTCTCCCTCGTATTTGTTATTGCACTGACCAGAAAATTCCATATGTAACCCATTTCCAGAAGTCTGAGTCAACTTAATTAAGTTCTTACATATTTGAATTTTTTTAATATTTTCAGTGAAAACATATAGTTTTGTATGGAGATAAAAGGCCAAGGGATTACTAAAGAACCTCCTAAGTGAATTTTTGCTTTTAATTAACATTGACATCCCATGATATTCTTGGTCTTCCATGGTATTCTTAAACACAAAGTAGAGGGATACAGATAATTTTCTTTCATGATCTTAGTTCCATTGTGGACTCATTTATAAGTGGATATTATATCCTATTACCCACATATGCAATAGAAAAGTTAACATTCAGAGAATGAGAGATAAGTTGAGATAAAAGCAAAGATTGCTGTTGATGGTGATTTTTGTCTCACTTCTATTTTATTACCTTACTATTATAATAATTCACTTTTGTGTGTGTGCTTATTTGTAACCTTAAATCTTTTATAAAGATAGATGAAGTTAGTACACTGGAAATAGTGCTTACTTGAATAATACTTTATTTTTCTTTTTATTAGTTTCTTCACTTGTGGAAGAAGGAGAGAAACAGAACAAACGTTTTAGGCCATCAAAAATGTCTTGCAGAGAATCTGCCCCACCAACCTCTTCCTCATCACCAGTCAGCCAGGACTTACTGACAGTCAAAGAGAAGTTCATCCCACCGGAGCTCAGTATCTGGGACTATTTCATAGCCAAGGTAATAAAAGTGCCACCCAGAACAATACTTATGCAGTGAAATGGAAATGAAAATGTTTAAAATAATTGTAATTGCTGCTGCTTCCAAGTATTTTCCCACTCTGATTTAGAAAATTTTCATTTTATCAGGCTGCATAACCAAAAAAAAAAAAAAAAAAAACACAAAAAAAACAAAAAAACCCTCAAAAACATTTGGCCATTTCCAGTCAGTTAAGGCAGTTCTTTGATAAGTTATGATTTCTTTATTTTAGACAAAATAGTTCTAGATGGAAAGATAAATTGGTCAGCACCTTAATGCTAATGTACTTGATTGTAATTAAGAAATCAAGATTGCTAAGAAGCCACAGGGCCATTCCTGCTGTCGTTCCTTTTCTGTCTTACAGACAGTCCTGCACTGTTCTCATATACACATTATAGTTACTTGGTCCTTCAGTAAGTAACATGAGTCCCTCAACAACATGGCTTAAAGTTTCCGCAATATATTAACTGTGAATAACTGCATAAAGTACAAACCTCCCTGCTGGCTCCTCAGTCCACAGTTCAGTATGGAAATAACAGATGTACCTCATGTTCAGTGACCAATCACAACAGTTCTTTCAAAGTCTATTGGTGATTAGTACCTGTTAGTTCATATGCAGACAGAAAAGTGTGTTGCTGTCTTGGCTCCCATGATGAACTCAAGTGACATTTTCTAAAGTTGCATAATCACAAGAGGGAACTGGCTCACAAAGATGGAAGTGCAACACAACAGTGAAAGGTGGTAGCACTATAAGTGAAATTCAAATCAAATATAAATGAAGTTGTGGAAAAAATAGCTAATTGTGGGATCTCTGACATTACTGTCATTCGAGAGACTCTAGTGCAACCCAGAAGACTTAGGGAAGGCTGACTTGTCAACACGAATGAGCAAAGTGTGACAAAAAGATGACCATATTCTAGAGATAGTGAAATTGGCAAAAACAAAACAAACAAAAAAAACAATCTTCATGTTAGAGTAACTCCGGGTAATATTTCACAATGTTGAAGGTGCGAAGAAGAAAATGTTGGAAGCTGATACAAACTTGGAAACAAATATGACGATTTGCCAATGATTAGAAAAGATGTTTGCTTTGTATCCTAAATTACAGAGTTAGAATGCAGGGACTATTCAGAATACTCTTGATAAATTTTTTTTTTTTTTAATTTTTTTTTTCAACATTTATTTATTTTTGGGACAGAGAGAGACAGAGCATGAACGGGGGAGGGGCAGAGAGAGAGGGAGACACAGAATCGGAAACAGGCTCCAGGCTCTGAGCCATCAGCCCAGAGCCCGACGCGGGGCTCGAACTCACGGAGTGCGAGATCGTGACCTGGCTGAAGTCGGACGCTTAACCGACTGCGCCACCGAGGCGCCCCGATAAATTTTTTATAAAGACATAAAACACTTAATTCTCAGTATTTCTAATATTTTAATTACAGTGTTCTAAATAAATATTTTTACTATTTTTTCATTTCCTTATACATTTATTGCCTACCATAAGTGTTCTTAATGTTTTGAAAAATATTTTTCATAGTCATAGAATATTTGTAATTTTTCCTTTGTTTAATAAAATCGCCTTGGAGCACCTGGGTGGCTCAGTCAGTTAGGCATCTGACTTTGGCTCAGGTCATGATCTCAACGTTGTGGGTTGGAGCCCCTCATCAGGCTCTGTGCTGATAGCTCAGAGCCTGGAGTCTGCTTTGGATTTTGTGTCTCCCTCACTCTCTGCCCCTCCCCCGCTAGTGCTCGCGCTCTCTCTCTCTCTCTCTCTCTCAAAAATAAACAATAAAAAAAATGAAGAAACGTCAAAAAAAAGAAAAAAATTTAAAGATTGCCTCACAGTGACTTCAGCTTGCATGGTTGTTTTCACATTCCTGTGCTACCATGCACATGCAGAAAAGGCCTGAATGTATCTTCTCCTTTTCCTTTGATCAGCCCAATCCCTAACATTCTCAACTTCCAGATATTCTTAATATTTTGTTGTATTAATTGACACTGAACTATTTACTGGTGACACCAGTCCCTCAGGCACGTTAAGCGTTAGCTTTTATTTTTCGTTTATTGTACAACGCGTAGGCTAAAGACAGGTATTCGTATCTCCTTGTTCCTCATTGCCTTTTACAGAGTCATTCATTCAGCAAATGTTTATTTTTGCTATGGGATTATATATATGTCATCTTCATTTCTGAAGCACAGTTTGAGTTGATAAAGGATTCTTGATCAGCACGGCCTTCTTTAGCTCTCTGTTCCTGGACCTTGTTAAATTTCTGGCTGCTCTGCCCTTGTCCCACTTTATATCATAGCCTCAGGCTAATTGAGATGTTAGCCTTTCCTAGCTATTTGGTAATGAGATCTCTGTCATTTTTGACTGTGCCATTGGGGTGGGATTTTTATTAAAGTGTCAGCCCTTCTGGCCATGCAGCAGAGTTCTCAATCCTCACGGATGCCCTGCTGGCTCCAGTGGACCCCTGTCACACAGAGTGGCAGGGGTGGAGTCGCAGAGACCCTGGCCAAAATGCCAGGTGCTTCTCTGTGTGTTGTATATATTGATCAATTTCCAGTTTCTTTTAAAGGACCTTTTTACAACATTGTTCAGTTTTCCTGTTGCTTTCTGGTGAGAGGACTTACGAAGCTCCTCACTCAGCTCTTTCAGAAGTTCTGCCGTCCATGCTATTTCTTCACCAGGCTGCCCTAGACCAAAGTAACTTCAGACTTCCCACATCTCCTCCTCCGTCCTCACCCTTAACTAATGCCCTCATCTTACAAGTCATTAGAAAGGTAGAATCGCACAAAACTGTCACTGTCCTATCATGAAGCTATAACTACATCTTATTCCTTCCTTCTGTTATTATGGAAGAAGAGTCCTTCTTGTCACAGGCTCCATTTCTGTTCTGAATCCCCGTCGTGCTTTCCTGTCTACTCTTCACTATGTTTTCAGTTCTGTTGTCTCTACAGGCTGCTTCCCATTGGGACAGAAATGTGCTCTCCAGTCTCCCATTCCAAGTCCTGCTTTGATCCCCAGACTTTTCTCAGCTATTACCCCATTTCTCTGCTTCCTCTTATCATTCAACTTTTCAAAACTGTACACACATTTTTTTTCCTATTACCTTAGGTCCCTTTCATAGTTCCCCACTGTGCGACTTCTGACACAGCTACCCCTCTGAAGCTGCTGTTATTGAGATTCAGGGGGCATCCTTGTTGTCACATGTAACTGAAACTTCTTTATCATCGTCCTATTTAAATTCTTAGCAAAATTCAACACATACGACCATTTCCTCCTTTGAAACACTTTTTTGTCTTCTTCTCTTAATGCCAATCTCTTCTGTTTTTTTCCCTAGCCTTACTGTTTATTCTTTTGTGGTCTCCTTTCTTTGTCCTTCCTTTTCTACCTGATCTATAATCTTAATCTTATTCAAGATTTGGGTTTTTGATACTCACTTTGTCCACTACTTCCCTCTCACAACCAGAGCTCCCTCAATTTAGTAGATGGCATCTTCATCCTAATAGTTGCTCAAGCCGGAAACCCAGAAATAGTCTTTTTTCTCTCTGTTCCTTGCTCTCCGTATTTATTGGCACATCTGGCAGTGCTTTCCCCCAAATACACCATCAGTATGTTATTTCTCTCCATCTTCATCACCTGTTACCACGTTGTCGAAACCTGACCTCTGTGCTGTAGAGCCGAAACATACCGTGAAGACAGAGTTTGGGGATAAAGAGGAACACTGGTTTTAATGCTTTGCCAGGCAAAGGAGGCTGAAGCAGGCTAATGCCTTCAAAGCTGCAGATCCACCTGTAATAAAAGGTTAAGGGTGGTTTTAGGAAAATACAGGATCTGGGCAGTTTAGAGAACAATCTGGTACATATGCCAGGCGGGTTGTTCATGTTTCTTGACTACCTCAGGCCCGGCCATCCGAGTCTCGTTACTGGCTATGCACCGAGGTCAGGGAGATGTCCACATTGATACCAAGTTCATGGAACAAAGGATTCTACAGAACAACACATGAAGGGAAGAGGGAGGCTTCAAGAATGAGGAAGAGAAAAATTCGTTCAGTTTAAAGGCAAGCCTTGCCAAAGCACTAGTGTGTCCATCTTAATTCCCATCTGCCTTTACGTTTCTGTAGTGGTTTCATCCAGACTGTCAACTCTTGCCTTAGTTACTGTCTCCGTTTCTACTCTTGCCTTTTGAGTTTTGTCTCATAAGAGAGGGGCATTGTAATAGTCTTAGAATGTAAATCTCAATACCTGTCCTTTCCTTAAAACTGACTAGTGACATTCCATTACTCTCTTGACTGTGACCTACAGACACCCTGCCCCACCTGTCACCTACCACTGTCTTGAGTGTTCATCGCAACACTTACCCTCCTGCATTAGTGGCCTTCAGTCAAACTACTTTCTTTCCACACCAAACTCTTTCCCGTAGGAAAACCTCTCTACCTACTCTTTCTGCTGCTCAAAATGAGCTTTTCTTCCCTCCTGATCTGTGGCTTACTTCTTGTCCTTGCAGTCTCACACGCCACTTTTCAAAGAGGGCTTTCATGATGAGCTCATCTCTGTTCTTGTTGCTCTTCTCCATCCCAGCCATCCTTTTGTGTGTGTGTGTGTGTGTGTGTGTGTGTGTATACATATATCACAACTACATACAGTTTGTACTTCCTTTATTTTTTGCCATTTTTCCCCCTAAAATGTAAGCTCTTTGAGTTCAGTGACTGTGTATATGTCTCAAAAATTCTTATAGCAAGTATACTTTTTGATGTGTTGATACTTGATGAATTTTTTGTTGAATGGCTGAATTAATAAAGAATTCTGTCAAGAGAAGTCAGAGGCATAGAATGTCAGAAAAGAAGCAGCCAAATACTGGTTACTTTACTTTCTTACAATGAAGTGCCTGAAAATGAGAAAAATTGTTAATATTAGACTCTGTCATTGAATGTTTTAAATCAGGGAGTTGAATGATAAATCCCATAACTTTTTTTTTTTTTTTTTTTTTTTTTTTTTTTTTTTTTTTTTTTTTTTTTTTTTTTTTTTTTTTTTTTTTTATAGCCTTTTCTCCCTCCTTCCCAAAGTAGAGCAGAGTATGATTCAGAAGAGAGTCTGGAGAGTGATGATGATGATGATGATGATGTTTTAGCTTCTGATTTCCATCTGCAAGAGCATTCTAATTCAAATTCATATAGGTATGGAATATTTAATTTTAAGTTTCTTTTTAAAAATTTCTCATGGCTTATATACATAATATTTTTGAAAATAATTCATGTAAAATTAATAGCTCATTGAATTAAAACACCTAAGTCAAATTTCTTTAGATGAAATTGTTAGATACCTTTCTTTAACAATAATTTCACAGTTTATTTATTATGTATGAATCAGTCCTCACAAATGCTATCAGACTATTCCTTGCCCTTTGCTCCCTGAGATACACAAATCCCACTGTTTTAGCCTAGAAAACACTATCTTTTCAGTGTAATACTAATGCTCTAACATGTCAGTGATTTTTGTCTTAAAAATGTCTTCCCCATATTATAAAAATGATAAATGTTCAAAATGTTCACCCTCGGCTCCGAAGCTGCATTATCCTTACATGCATGGATAATGGTGTATTATCTTATCTCTGTTGATATGTTGTATATGTCTGAAAGGTGTATACATTTTATTAAGACATTGTATGTTATGGTATGATAGAAAAATAGAAATTTTCCACAAGCAGTAAGTAGGATATTAGGGAAAATGAAGTAGTCCTTTATCGAAAGGAAAAATTATGAGATTTTTACTTACTAGTATACTGTTGTTGATTTCCTGTTGACCTGATTTTGTTTTTTGAATACACAAAATATTTACATGGCTCAGAAGTCAAACTGTATAATTTAATAACAACAAAAACAAAACAACCCAATTTAAAAAGCGCACAAATGACTTGAATAGATGTTTTTCCAAAGCAGATATATAAATGGCCAATAAGCACATGAAAAGATGGTCACTATCACTGATTATTAGGAAAATGCAATTTGAAGCCACAGTGAGAGTTCACTTCATACCTCTTAGCATGGCTGCTCTCAAAAAGAAAATAGCAGTGTTGGCAAGAATGTGGAGAAATTGGACCCTTTGTGCCCTATTGGTAGAAATGTGAAATGGTAACACCACTGTGGAAAACATTATGGCAGTTCTTCAGAAATTAAAAACAGAATTACCACATGACTCAGCAATTTCATTTCTAAGTATATATACCCTAAAGAATTAAAATAAATAAGGTATTGAATAGGTATTTGTACAAACATGTTCATGACAGCATTATTAATAGTAGCCAGGGGGTAAAAGTACTAAGTGTCTGTTGACAGATGAATGCATAAATAGAAATAATAGTATATACCTACAGTGGAATATTATTCAACCTAAAAAAGGATGGAAATTCTAACACATGTTATAACATGGATAAACCTTGAGGACAACATGCTAAATGAAACAAACCAGTCACAGAAAGACAAATACTGTATAATCCCACATATGAGATACTTAGTAGAGTATCATAGAGTAGTCAGATTCATAGAGACAAAAGGTCTCTATGAATGGTGGTGGCCAGAGACTAGGAGAAGGGGGAAATGGGGAAATTGTTGCTTAATAGAGATAGTTCTAATTTTGCAAGATGAAAAGAGTTATAGAAATAGGTGGTGGTGATGGTTGCACAAAAATATGAATGTACTTAATGCCACTGAACTAAAAAATAGTTAAGATGGTAAACTCTGTGGTATGTGCATTTTACCACAATTGAAAGTAGTAAAAAGCCAGTACTCTAAGAAATAAATGTGTTTCACTTTAAGAGAAGCTAATATTTCTTTTTTCAATTAAAAAAGCAAAAACTATATAAAAATGTGAAATCGGAAGTGTCACATTTCTGTCTTCCACCCATTTCCTCCTCTACACCCATTTTTATTAGTTTCTGTTTTATCTGCCTTTTTGTAAAATAATCGTGTGTGTGTGTGTGTGTGTAAAATCTTCCCTGCTTTCTTACATGGAAAAGCATACTGTGTATAATGTTCTATAATTTGCTTATTTATTAATACATACTGGAGTTCATTTCATATTAATACTTTGAGATCCTTCTTCATTCCTTTTTTATGGCAACTGTTTTTTCTGTGGTTCAAAACCATAGTGTTTGAACCAGTATTTTCTTGGTGGATAATTGGTTGTTTCTGCTCTTTTGCTATTTTAGATAAAGCTGACATGAGTAACTCCATGCATATATTGTTTTGGTTTTTGGGAAAGTATATCTGCAGACTAGATTCTTGGTGGTGAAATTGTTGGATTAAAGAGTGGTATACTCTTCCAAAACCCTAAGTAAGTTTTTAACACATCTCCTGTTTTATTTTTAGTTGGTCATTGATGCGCTTGGCAATGGTGCAGTTGGTACTCAACAATTTGAAGACTTTCTATCCCTTTGCAGGTCACGATCTTGCAGGTAATAAATATCTTAACATGAACTAATATTCCCAGTGCTTTTGAATTACTATTTTGTATTTTTTTTCAAATAGTGGAGAAAAACTTTAGTAACTTACTATTGTAGAAGATAGGTTTCTTTAACCAAACCAACCATCTATAAATATTTTATATCGGTGCCCTTAGGAGGACATCATCTAAGAAAGCTGGGGATCTGAACCTGATGTGATTGACTGTATTGAGACTTTATTTATAGCTGTAGCCAGGTGTTGAGGGATTTAATAGCAGTAGACACTTAGAAAACTAAGCACGTGCAAAAACTTAGTGATTATTAACTCCAGGGGAAGAAAAGATTGTACAGAAAGGTACATGATAGTATACCACGTGGTTCAGCTATGATCTATATTTATAAATAGATATAACAAGTTAAACCTGAAAACATCAATTTAACCAGAAATTATTATGTGACTATATTGCAGTGATGGAGAGACCGTTTATTTTTATGTTCCATAGTAATAAATTAGTACGTCATTTCTAAAATTGAAAAATCATGAATTCACAGTATTATCCTGTTATTTAGATCTTCAGAGGTAAATAGGAATAGCTAAAAGTCGAAAGTAGGGCTGCCCAGGTGGCTCAGTTGGTTAAGCATCCGACTTCGGCTCAGGTCATGATCTCACGGTTCGTGAGTTCAAGCCCCGCATCAGGCTCCGACAGTTCAGGGTCTCGAGCCTGCTTCAGATTCTGTGTCCCCCTCTCTCTTGGCTCCTCCCCCGCTCACACTGTCTCATTCTCTCAAAAATAAATAAACATTAAAAAAATTTTAATAAAATAAAAGTTGAGAGTGGAATGAGGAGTCATGTGAATGAAAGTTTACAGAACTAGAAAGTGTTGAATTTACTGGTAAATATTATTTAAGGTTTTTTTTCTTTACTTTCGTGTATTATTTTAATTTTCTAAACAAGTTTTAAATATACCCATATAGATTTGGGTATGTGTGTGTCTGTGTGTGTTGTGTATGTATGTACATATACATGCATACACAACACACACATACACTGTATAGAAATATATACCATAAAGAAATTAAATGTTAAAAGCTATTATTTTTTCCTCTCCAATATATTTTTATAATATGCAGGTATATTTTTTCTTGTGAAATTAAAGCCAGAGGCAGTAATTGATATAGCAATCAATACTTTATATCATAAGTCATAAATATTATTCCAAGTTATACTTGTAAAGCTATGATATAATTTCAACTTAGATTTCTCTTTTTTTTCTGTTGCTAAGGGCCACCTAATAATGTTGAAATAAAGATTCATTACATCTTTTTTTTTGAATCCCGTGGGTTTCTGTGCCCACCTCTCTTCCACATGTCCTCTGCCAAAACGTGTCTTCTCTCATTCCTACAGTTGAATGTAACATTTTACTGCAGAAGACAAATGTGGGTCATTTTTATTTTCTCTTTTTAGAACTTCCAGTTAGTTCACCACTTTGTCATGCGGTTCTGAAAACTCTTCAGTGTTGGGAACAAGTTCTTCTCCGACGACTTGAAATCCATGGTGGGCCACCTCAAAACTATATCTCAAGTCATACCTCTGAAGAGAGTGTGTCTGCAGGCCCTGCAATTCTCCGCCATAAAGCTTTGCTGGAACCTACAAACACTCCTTTCAGGTAGGTTTTCCTATAGATCCCGTTTTTGAATTTTTTTTTAATGTTTATTTACTTCTTTTTGAGAGAGTGAGAACAGCACAAGTGGAGGGGGGATGGGCAGAGAGAGGGAGACACAGAATCCAAAGCAGGTTCCAGGGTCCGAGCTGTCAGCTCAGAGTCCTACGTGGTGTTTAACCCCACAACTGCGAGACCATGACCTGAGTGAGCTGAGTCAGACACTTAACCAACTAAGCCACCCAGGCGCCCCCTATGGATACTGTTTTTACGTCAGAGTTACTAAATCAGAATGCTATCAACTAGTAATTTTAAAAAAATACTTAAGGCCTTCTGTGTCTAATTTGCAGTTCTTGGCTCGTATCTGTGTCTTTGTTAGATGTATATTGTAGGCCAGAGGTTACCAAACATTTCCTGCAAAGGCCTAGAAAGTAAATATTTTAGGCTTTGCAGACCCTAGAATCCTTGTTGCAGCTCTTAAACTGCCATTGTACAGTGAAAGCAACCATAGACAATAAGTAAACAAATGGTCATGGCTGTGATCCAATAAATTTTATTTTTGAAAATGAAAGGCAGGCTGAGTTTGACCTGTGGGCCATAGTTTACTTCCGCCCACTCTGGAACAGTGCCCTTCAAAATATTTAGTTAGCAAACTATTTTACTGTCCGTGGGGAGATGAAGCATTTGCACCAAAAGGTAAATCGATGCAGTGCTTGTTTCATCAATAAAGCCTTGCTACCAAATGTTAACTGAATTAAACTGTACTTACAAGCTTAGTTATACAGTTGATACACATTATTTCACAAGTTCTTAACCATAGTGAGCATCAGTAACAGTTCGTGGGCTGATATGTGTCCTCAGACACTTGGAGTAGCTCTGCCTCTAGATTTCTTCCAGGAAGTCTAACTATTTTGGTAGATCTTCTGTTCCTGGGGGTCGGAAACTGCAGCTTAGAGCCAAATCCACCCCTCCTCCTGCATTGTAAACAAAATTTTATTGGATTACAGCCACACCCTTTGATTTTAATATTATCTATGGGTGGTTTCCTTCTTCAGTGGCTGAGTTGAGTGGTTGAAAGACCATGTAGCCTGAAAGCCTAAAATCTTTACAATCAGGTTCTTTAAGAAAAAGTTTGCAGACTGCTGCCTAGATGATGTGATCTGATTCTAGTTCATTTATTATTATAAACATTCTTACAGCACCAAGGAAATGTGGTCAAGTTAATCAGAAATCTCCAAAGTGTATAATTAAATATCCTGTCTCTGTAGATCCAAACACCATCTGGCACTGTCTGTGAAGAGACTTTGGCAATATTTGGTGAAGCAGGAAGAAATTCAGGAAACTTTTATCAGAAATATATTCACGAAGAAAAGATGTCTAAATGAGGTCTGTATAAGTTAAAACCTTTTTTTTTTTTATTACTGAAGTCTTGTTTTATGTACCTATAAAGAATAAGTTGTATTTTACAACCCACTTTTATACCATAAACGTGTATTATGCAGTTAATAAATAGATACAGTAATTGAAAAGGAGAGAGAACGGGTCACTATTTTCTGAAGTCAATTTAAAGTAACTAATTCAGATGTATTTGGAACTTTTTTTTCCTAAAAAGGTACTGTTTGAGTGAAGATTGTGTATCTTGTTTGGTGTGCTTTGAGTTGTCATGATTGCCATTTTAGGAAATAAAGTCGAATTTTCCCATGATTTTCAGAATGTGATCGTTAAAAGAAGTTATCTTAGAAGTTTTATTGAAACTAGGTTTGTATACTGAGAACATTTCAAATATGTACATTTTCTTTTTATTCTTTCGATTATGCTTCTTAGTGAATTTATAAGTGCAGTTTATAAATATACTGTGGTTAATTATACTTTGATGTTATCATTATGATTATTTTTCACATTTAGTTCAGTGCTTTAAAAAGTTCCATTTTGACGCTATGGAGAATTTGCACCTGAATGTAGATTAACATGTTGCTTACTTTTCTGTGACAGTATTGCTATTTTAAAAATACCCGGTAAACTCAGTGGTGGACTTAGTGATGAGACTAATTCCTTATGTCCTCATGGACTCAAAACCCTCAGCTGGTGTGTGGATTGTATTTTGAGAAGCACTGAACTAGTCTGAAAGCAAGTTTTGTATGGTTCTTGAAGTGGGGGGAAAAAAAGAAGGGTATTTCACTTGGAGAAATAAGGAAGTAGAACGGCTTTTTTTCCTGATTTTTAAATAAAAATTTTTACTTGAGTGTAATCAACATACAATGTTACATTAATTTCAGGTGTACACCGTAGTGACTCAGCATGTTTATACATTAAAGTGGCTTCTTACTAGACAAGTTAGCAAAAAGCAAGATGGCATATAATAACCTTAATGAAAAACAGAAAAATTACATAGATCTGAAGGGCTCTCGGTTTAAGCACTATTTTATAAGAGGCAACTGCGGGTGCTGATACTTAGCATTCACCTGGTGATGTAAATATATTTGAATTAGCCAAGCCAGGAAACAAAATACATAATTTTTTGCAACTTAGAAAACTTGTGAAATATGTATCTTAGGATAACATTGAAATCTAAGCCAACAATAGGTAAAATAGAATAAATAAAAGTAGTTTTATTTAACTTTCCATAAGATGTATCTTAAATATTTAGTATATGAATTACCATTAAACAGTTCAAGAAAATTTTGGGATAAGTAAAATTAAAAATGTACTGGATCAGAGACTAATTAATTAGGGTGTGTTCATTGGTGAGGTAATGTTTCTGATTTTATTTTAAATATATCTTTGCCTAAAATAATGTATTACAAGTTAAAGCATTTCCATAATAGTGAATAAAGCCCTCCTTCTTTATACACTTTATACCTGCTTACTGTGGAAAAAGTATGTTTACTGTGCTTGTTATTTCTTGGGTTTCTCTGACCTACCTTGTATAGGTATAGATTTACAAAATCATTTTTTGTACAAAAATGTACAAAATCATTTTTTAAAGAACATGGCCATATTTTATTAATATAGTTGTAAATATAAAAAATATTTCTCTACTGCTGATATAGGGAATTTGGAATATAGGTATTTGGGAAATTAAATAATTCTCAAAACAAAATAAAAAATTGTTCACCACCAGATTGTCTAGTTGAATCAGGAAATAGAACCACTAAGGGAGGGGAGTAGCATGACTAAGCCAGATACATGAGGAAGAACAGCAGGGAAATGAGTACAAGTACATCTTTTAAATTCCTTTGCTGTTTGAGTTTTCTTTCAGAGTTCGATGATACCTTAAGAAAATTTTAATTTTTTTGTTAGTAATTAAATGCATGCTTATGAATGTTGGACTGAGAGAAAGCTTTATAATTAGTGAGCTAAATATTTTTTCTGAATTTTAGGGTTTTTTTTTCCTGCAAAATTAATTTGGAATATTTTAACTGGTAGATCTTATTTACTTAAAACTTGGCATCATTAATGATAGTTATTAGAAATTAATTGCTACTGCATTATTGTTTTATTCTTCATGTTTTATTCTTCACTTTTTAAAAATAGTGACATTTTGATAAAGGGAATATGAAAATGAAAACTTTGTATGGTGAACCACAGATGGGATGGAATTAAGTAGAATATTAACTCTATAAAGTTAGTATAATGTTTAATCTTTAACTGGCAAGTTGATTAGCTTGTTCTTGATGTTAACAAAATTATCTTCCATGTCTTTTTTTATAAAATGATTATATTTAAATAGTTTGAGTCCATGTCACTGTGACTTTTCATATGGTTAGGAAATAGATACATGACAGGCTCTGTATTTTGGACGGGAGAATTTTGAGATGGTTTCTTTATTCCTTATGTGTGTGAAAATGAAATTTTCTCCATCTGATGTTTAAATCCTGGTGTATGCTCAGATCTTTTCTTTTCCTATACTGCATTTTTAAAATAAAAGATCTTTCCTTTTTATACTTGGAAATTGAATACAGATGGCTGCAAATGAACTATATCTGAATGATCCCCAGCCAGAAAAAAATACTTGACAGCTATCATATTTGTCCCTACTTTGTATTTCTCTTTTCTTTCATTTTCTGAGAACCAGAGGTCTTGAACCAGTTTTTTCTAATATCCCCTTTTTAGCAAGATGTGTGCCTCCAAGCAGTTTATTATTTCTGGCTAAATCAAGAGAAGGAGAGAATTAGAAACCTAGAAATTAAAAGTTTCTAATCAGGAGGTTTTCCTGAGGAGTGAGGTACCATAATGGAGACAAGGCATAGTAGCAGAACAATTTGACTTTAATTTTCAGCTGAGAGTACTGTGGATCAGTAGCTCTGAAATTTGTAATATTAAGAACATGGGGCTCAACTTTGCTTTAATGTCAACATTTCAAAATAAGTTAAAATTTCTTGCAAGGGCAAATAAAATTTATGGTGGTGGTTAATGAGTTCTGAGGGATTCAGTTTTGCCCAGCCTTATCCACGTACCTCCACATGTGCTTCTTTTAAGATGTATGAACTTGAAAAATAACAACTCAGTCCAGTGTTGTTTTCTAGTAAATTTAGTTTAAAATATTATAAAAATATCCCCGGTATTTTGCATGTTATATCTCGTCTTTACTCTTTGTCATGTGGTTATTCTTTCTTGATGAAGTCATTAGAGGACAACTGTGAAACCATCAAAAATTCTATGATGGAGGAGCCAAACATCAATAAGGTACAAAATATCATTCAACTAAAATGAGAAATTGCATTCTTTCACAAGAAAAACACATTGTTTGCATTTGAGTTTTGAACCGGACTTTGTTTCCAGTGCAGTTAAATTTTTGTTCCCTCAGATTATTCTTACTTGATTTCAGTAGCTTAAATATGCAATCATAAAAATTGTTTCTGTTTTGTTAATAAGAGAATGCAATTTTAAAGAGAGTTGAATGTAACCTGTTTTGGCTACACATTTTTTTGAGTAAATGCTACTGAAGTTCTTAATAAGGTGTATTACAATAGCCATTGTAGAATTGTAGCAGTATTGTTCTGTTTTACAAGTGTCATTTTGGAAGTTAACAATGTCTTCTGTGATGTTAGTTCCTTAAAATATATCAGATGCTAAATGTAGCATTTATTGTGCTGGTAGGAATGGCACATAGCACATTGCCTTGTATGTAGCAATTTCTGCTAACACTTGAGAACAGAGCAAGAATGGTAGGAATTGGTATAATCATGAAATATCTCCCAAATGTTCTATGATCATATATTCAAATGTGAGTTTTATTAAATTGACATTTAACTCACTCATGTGTTTCTTACTCTGATTTTAAGACCATCTCAGCAAAGTAATTTTTAGAGGAAGACTTTCTTGAAGATAATTTTTTAAGGTTACTAATTCCCCCTGCTAATTCTTTTCCAAAGAAATTCTTCTGGTTAAAATAAGAAAAATAATTCTGTATAATTAATAAAAAAGACTGATTAGCTGTCAAGTGTATAACTCAAGTTTGGCAAAATAAATATATTTAGTCCATACTTTGGAAATGTCTAATGGCCTTTGGCAATTTTGAAAGAATATAGTTGAAACTTTTAATCAGTTAACAATAATTCCTTGCCGAAGTTATCATTAATTACTAGTCTGTACATTATCATGAAATCTCATCCAAATATTTTAATAAATATTAAATATTTATAAATATATTAAATTTAATAAATATAATCAGAATGTGGTATTTCTATAGTCATCACATTACATTCAAAGGTAGTCCTTCTGTGTGTTTAGTTAACATCAACAATTTTTGGCCAAGATTTTCCAAACATCTGCTATAATTTTGTTTTAAATAGCTTTATCGTGTATACCTGACTTAAAATAACTGCACATATTTATTAAAGTATAGTTTGATTAATCTTGGAGTATGTATACACTGGTAAAGCCATCACCACAACCAAGAAAATGAATATAGTCATCACTCCCAAAACTTTAATCTCTTTCTTACTCCTTTCTTTTTTTCATCTGTGCCTTCTTCCTCTACAAGCAGCTACCAATCTGCTTCTTCATATTATAGATTAGCTTGCATTTTCTGGAATTTTATGTAAATGGAATCATACAGTGTATGCTTTTTCCCATAGCATAATTATTTTGATATTCCTCCATGTTGGATATTTCATTAATTCATTCTTTTTTATCGCTGAGGTGTGTGCATTGTATAGCTGTACCGTAATTTGTTTATTCTTTTATGTGTGGATGACCACTTGAGCTCTTTCCATTTCAGAACTGTTTCAAATAAGAATGCTCACATTAGTCATATACAGGTCCCTTTGGTTGGGCGTATGCTTTCATTTCTCTTGTGCAAATGCTTAGGAGTGGAATGGCCAGATTTTATTGTATGTGTGTGGTTAACTTTTTGAGAAACTACTCAAGTATTTTCCAAGGTGATGGTACCCTTTTATATTCCCAGCAGCAGTACATGGTATCTCAGTTGCTTTACCTCCTCACCAGGGCGTGGTATGGTCAGCCTTTTTATTTTAGCCATTCTAGTAGGTGTGTACTAGTTTTAATTTACTTTGACCATCTTCCATGTGCTTTTTTATATCATTTGTATAATTTTTTGGTTGAAGTGTGTTTTCAAATGTCTTTTTTTTTTTTTTTTTTTTTTTTTTTTTTTTTTTTTTTTTTTTGATTGGGTTGTTTTCTTGACAGAGTTTTAACAGTTCTTTTTATTTTTTAAATAAGTGGTGTATCACATTTGCAGATATTTTCTCCTACTCGCATGTCTTTTGATTCTCTACAATTTCTTTTAAACAGAAGTTTTTAACTGATACATTGAACCTCATCAAAATTTGTTTTGTGTGTGGATGTTCTTTTTGGTGTCATATCTAAGAAATCTTTGCCTAACCTAAAAATCACAAAGATTTTCTCCACCTCTGCTCTCGTGTTAGTTTTACAATTAGTGAAGACTACTTCCATTACCACAGCTTTCCAGTTAAAAACAGAAATCTAAAGCTCTGCCCTACAAAGAAATTATAACACGAAGGCAGTGTTTAAATCCTACAAAAAATTTTTTTGAGTCAATTTTTTAATATGGGTAGAAAGTATAGATTGCAGTTGCTTTTTTTTTTTCCCATGTGTGTATCAGTTGTTCACCACTGTTTAATGAAAAAGTTATCTTTTCCTCCACTGAATTGCCTTTTCCTCCTTTTAAAAAAACCAGTTGACATGGTGCCTGGGTGGGGTGGCTCAGTCGGTTAGGTTAAGCGCCTGCTCTTTGCTGACAACTGAAAGCCTGGAGCCTGCTTTGAATTCTGTGTCTCCCTCTCTCTCTTTCCTTCCCTGCTCGCACTCTGGCTCTCTCTCTCAAAAATAAAGGTGAAAAAAAAATTAACAAAACAAAACAGTTGACCTATGTGTGTTAGGGACTCTGTTTTGGACTATTGATCTATTTATCTTTATCCTAATCTCCCACTGTCTTACTGCACTGGCTAGAACTTTCAGTCCCATGTTGAACAGAAATGGTGAAAGCAGACATTTTTATCTTGTTCCTGATCTTGAAGAAAAGCATTGCGTCTTTTGTCATTAAGTATGCTGTATTCTATAGGGTTATTATAGATACCCTTTATAAGATTGAGGAGGTTTCTTTCTGTTCCTAGCTTGTTGAAAATTTTTAATCGTAATAGCTGCTGGATTTTGTCACCTCTCTTTTCTGTTGTTGTTACCACTGAGATGTTCATATGGTTTTTCTTATTTTAGTCTGTAAATATGACTAAATACGTTGATGGATTTGTTTGATGTTAAACAAACCTTGCATTCTCTGGCTAAGCTTCATTTGGTCGTGCTGTATTTGTTATTTTTTTTTTATATATATTGGTATGTTTGTTAAAATTCTTGTTAAGATTTTTGCATTTATGTTAACGAACATAAGTTTTCCTATAATGTTTTGGGGTTCTTTTTTTGGTTTTAAACTAAAGCTGGACTCATAGAATGTGTTGGGAAATACTCTCTTTAATTTTTTGGGAAAAAAATTGTGTAGAATTAGTATTTCTTACTTAAGTGGTAGAATTCAGCAGAGAAACCATCTTGGCTTCGAGTTTTTTATCTACAAATTCAGTTTCTTTAACATGTAGGGCAAGTCGGGTTATTTATTTCTTCTTGAATGAGCCTTAGTAGTCCATGTCTTTAAAGAAATAGGCTTCATTTGGGGTGTCAAATTTATTGGTATAAAATTATTCATAATATTCCCCTATTCTTTTAATATACAAGAAAATTTATGGTGATGTCACCTCTCATTTCACTGCTAGTTTTGAAAACAAAATTACTTCTTGAATATTTTTATTTCGTAATATTTAGAGTATTTGTCTTCTTTTGTATTCACTTGCCAGCTTCCCATTTCCTTCCAATATGCCTTTGATATTGTTTAGATGTCATTTTACTCTATGTTGTATTTAATTATATTATTAGAGCAGTGCTGAAGTGCAAGCACTCAGCTTTACATCATGGAAGGTGATAGTAGCTGAAAATCACTAATGAGACCTAGAGTCTCACCTTAGCTTTTCTATAGCTCTGTTGTGGGACCTTGGGCTCTTTATGTCCTTGAAGCCTCATTTACCCTAATGTATCAAACTGGGTTGATAATTTTAAACATGCTAACTGCTCTAATTAAAATAGTAGTGAAGTCCTGAAGTTAGTCTGTTATGTTCCTCTCTTCTTCAGTTCTTAAAGGAAGGTCTGCAGAACCTGAACATTTTTTAGATCATCACCTGTATAAAATGTACTCTTTTTACAAACTGTGGTAAAATATACATGTAAAAATTTACCGTTTTAGTTGTTTTAAGTGTATAGTTCAGTAGCATTAAGTACATTGACTTTGTTTGCGACCATCAGCACCAAACAAATGCAGAACTTGTTCATATTCCCAAACTGGAGCAGTAGCTCTCCACTTTCTCCATCCCACTTAGCCTAGCCCCAGCTAACTCCCGTCCTCCTTTCTGTCTCTATGAATTTTACTACTCTGGGTGTCTGTGTAAGTGGAAACATAATATCTGCCGTTTTGTGACTGGCTCATTTGACTTAGCATAACATCTTCAAGCTTCATCCGTGTTGTAGTATGTCTCAGAATCTCCTTCCGTTTTAAGGCTAAATAGTATACCATTGTGTACATGTCACATATATTGTTTATCCAGTCATCTATCAATGGATATTTGGGTTGTTTTCATCTTTTGGGTGCTGTGAGTAATGTGAAAATTGATGTACATATCTGTTTAAGTCTCTGCTTTCAGTTCTTCTGGACACATACCCAGAAATGGAATTGCTGTCATCTGTGGTAATTCTTTCTTTTTTGATCTGCGTAATCTCTTAAAATCTCTTCTGGTACTAATATTTGGATTCTTTCTTCCTCACAAATCCAGCCCAATCAGATTTTATTTTATTTATTTTTAAATTTACATCCAAGTTAGCGTATAGTGCAACAGTGATTTCAGGAGTAGATTCCTTAGTGTCCCTTACCGATTTAGCCCATCCCCCCTCCCACACCCCGTCCAGTAACCCTCTCTTTGTTCTCCATATTTATGAGTCTCTTATGTTTTGTCCCCCTCCCTGTTTTTATATTATTTTTGCTTCCCTTCCCTATGTTCATGTGTTTTGTATGTTCAAGTCCTCCTGTGAGTGAAGTCCTATGATATTTGTCTTTCTCTGACTAATTTCACTTAGCACAGTACCCTCTAGTTCCATCCACGTAGTTGGAAATGGCAAGATTCCATTCTTTTTTATTGCAGAGTAATATTCCATTGTGTATATATACCACATCTTCTTTATCCATTCATTTGTCGATGGACATTTGCAGCCCAATCAGATTTTAAACCATGGCCTGAAACCTTTCGTTAAGGTTTACATTAAACATACATTAAATTTTACATTAAGATAGTATTTATTGTGATTTTTTTTTTTTACTTTGGTTTTATATTGTATGGCCTTTAGCAAATTAAATTATGTTCATAGCTCATGCAGGTTCTCTGTTTTGAGCATATCATGTTTCCACTTCTTTCTTTCCCACCTTAGATTTCATGATTCATCATTCTGAAAAATCCTCAACCCTTTTGTGCCATTCTCTCTATGGTGTATTTGCCTTGAAAATCCCCAAACCTCTTTACATGCAACTCTCTGTCTACTCTGTGCCTTTGTAATAGAACATGAGTTCACTCCTTGATGAGTCACAAACTGCATCAGGTTGCATTTTTGCACAAAGAAAACTTTATTAGCAGCAAATAAGGAGATTGTGAGGAATGGCTTCCAAAGCCATGATCCTGGCACAAGAGTGGATGGGTTCCTTTTATTTGGGATTAGGATGAATATTTAGATAGAGAAGCCTTATTATCCTATGTAGTGGCGGGCATAAGGTCACACATGTACCTTAAGGAAACGTGCCTATACACACATTGTATATTGTATAAGGCTTGTGCTCCTCCTTGGGCAGATATTTTAGTATTATAATGAGGGAAAGGTAGTGATAGGTCATTCTAGAGATCCCTCTATGGTCCATCTGTGTAGTCTGGAGTCAGGGGTTAAGTTCAGACTGGCCTGCCAGTCTTGTCAGGGCAGTTGCTATTGCCAGAGGGGCAGTGTTGACTTCTGTTTGCCTGAGTTAAGAGATAAGCTGGAAAGAAGAGCTTAAGGAAGAAAGAATATAGGATGAAGGTCAGTGAATACAAGCAAGTGGATAGTAAAGGTCAGATCCTGGGGATTAGCAGGTGACATCTTCACCTCAAGAGCTGAACGTGGATGAAGAAAAAGCACAAACAGTGGGGGTTTGCCTTACTTAAAATTTATAGCCACAATTCCCAAATTACCCAACGATCAAAATAAATTACTCTGTAGTACTTGTTTTGTTTTGTTTTTCATTCTCCCCACTTTTACTCTCTTTCCTCAAACTTCCAGTACTCCTTGACTGTTTGCCACCGATGACCTTGTTCTGTCATCAAAATAAGTGCAGTCATCGGGAATGTAGACTAATCTTTCCACCACCAAATCTTACTTCTGCTCTATATGCAGATGTTTCATTAACTTCTCTAACAGTAGATAGACTGTCACTCTTTTGTCCAAAACCAGATCTTCCATTTGTACGCTGATCCTATGGGCTCTTACCTACCCAAGGACTTTGCTTCAGTAGTTATCCCTCCTCCCCCACCTCCGTCTTCATTAATAAATATTTACCTCTCTGATTATTCTCTGCATAAGCAAATATATTTTATTGTCTTTCTTTCAAATGAAAACCAAAAAACCTACCTTTGAATTAGTCTACTATCCCATTGCTTTAATTTCCCTATCTAGGAAAATTCATTTATAGAATTGCCTGTAAAGTCATTATAGAAGACTTAAAGAGTAATGATGCAGACACTCCCTGGAGGAACCACCCAGTTTAAGAAATAAAATATTATCAATTCATTTGAGTGCCTCTGTGAATCTTCCCCAATGGATTTACCTCCCTATTCACCATGTGTCTCTTTAAACTAGTTAAGTGTTATCTCCAGCCCACTACACTGACATGTTACTAGTCAAAGTCACCCTTGACTCCCACTATGCTAAATTCAGTAGTTGGTTCTGTCTTCCTTTAATTCATTGTTTCAGTATCTTTTGATACCGTTGACCACAGCCACCTTCTTAAAACTCTTGCTTCACTTGGTTTCTATTAACATCATATTTGATTATTTAGTATTCATACTTGGAAAATGTTTCTTGTTCTGTCTGTTTATTCTGTCAGTATTCCTCTTTCCTAAAACTACTTCCATTTCGAATTGACCTTCCCCCCCCCCTTTTTTTTGTGGTACATCTCCTTTATTTCCCCCTTTTTTGAAACATGGGGTATACCAGGACTTAGTTCTGTAACATTTTCTATTCCCTATTTTTACTTTCTCTTTGGTTTATCTCATGGTTTAAATATCCTCCATAGGCCGATAACTCTTAAATCTCTCTAGCCCATTCATTTCCTGAACTCTGGACTTGACTTCTTAATCTAATAGCTACATCACCCTGAATGTCAAGAGTAGAATTTTCTATCTTCTCATCTTTATCTAAATCCTTACTTTTCCTTCACTTTTGTCTCATTAAATGGTACCTTCACTTACCCAGTTTTTAGGTCTGAAAACTAGGAGTTATACTTGCTTTTTTTTACTCTTACTATAATTTCATTCCATTAGCAAAATTTACCCTAATTCCAACCAACTATCACTACCACCATTGCTACTACCCTAATTAAACCCACCTTTACCTCTTCAGCAACTAAAGTAGCCTGTTGACTGTTTTCTGGCAACCATTCTCACACCCTTTATACTTTACCTCACAACTTGCAGAACTGTCTAAACCCTGCAGTGTCTTCCTAGCTCCAAAATAAAATCTGAACTCTTCATTGTGGCTTTTAAGACTCTTTGCAAACTGAATCTTGCCTGGTATTCAATCTCCTACCACTTGTCATTGTTTTCTAAATTAAATACTAAGTTTTTGAGATGCTAAACACCATTCCTTCCCTCTCCCTCCACTTGATTTTAAAGCAGGTGATCTTGAGACCATAATATTAAGAAATAATGTTTTATTAAATAAAGATTTTGAGAGGACAGGCATGTATTTTCACATTGAAGAAGCTTTTTAAGTTTATGCCTGCAGGAGCCTGTTTCCCTATCAGGTAAAGTTGGAAAAAGCTCTGCAGCTAAAACTAGTATGTTTCCCCCCACCCACCCGTTATCAGCACATAACATACTCCTCCACTTCCTGCAAACATCATTTGTCTCTCTTTCCAATTTCTTCAAAATCTAGTAGTAGACACTTAGTATACTTTATTTTTTTAGTTTTTTTAAATGCTTATTTATTTTTGAGACAATGCAAGAGACAGAGTGCAAGCAGCACAGGGGCAGACAGAGGGAGACACAGAATCCGAAGCAGGCTCCAGGCTCTGAGAAGTCAGCCCAGAGCCCAACGTGGGGCCCGAACTCACGAAGTGAGATCACGCCCTAAGCTGAGGCCGGACGCTTAACCAACTGAGCCATTCAGGCGCCCTAACACTCAGTATACTTTAGATACCAGATATTATAGATAGGTCACTAAGTTGGGATTCTGTCATAAAATTACAGAATTTGAGATAAGATTTTTGTTAGAAAAGAGGTTGACCCCAAAATCAACCAAAATGTTTGGCAAACACTGAAAATCTTTGGTTTGTTATCAGATTGTATTTTCGATTTGAACATCTTTGACATCATTACATCTAGTGACTAGGAGTTTAGTTGGCATAGGATTATTTGAGTTTTTATCTTAGGCGTCTCACCTTTGCAATTCAACAGTCTTTTATATTTGCCATTTAAAAAATACTGCTAATTCTACTCGGTTCTGTTGGTGAAACACTGGACAGGCATTGGTGATGTTTTTATCTAAACTTTGCAGGACTTAAATTTGTTATATTCTTATTTTAGATTAATAACGTCCGCACTTCTCAATGAGTTGTGAACCATTTTATACTAATTCATCTTAAAGAATGAAGGTTAGGGATATAAAATAAGATGAAACACTATCCTATATTAACATTTTTAATTCTTAATAATTACCTTCTCTTTTTACCTCTGTTTAGTTTAGTAAATATTGATTTATACAGTATTCTCTTCTGAGTTCAAAGGCCTTGTATGTACCTTCTTTGGGGTAAGCTAAAGGTCAGATTATTTCCCTCATCCAAAGTACATTGAATTATGGTTTATTCAGCTATTAAAAATGACTACTGACCTAAAATGACTTACTGACCCTGGGGAAATTACTGTGCCTTTCAGGGTTTCAGGTTGTTTGTTTGTTTGTTTGTTTTTATAAATTAAAAGCCGTTTTAGACCAGGATTCAGTAAGCTGGCCATATTTGACCTGTTCTTTACAGGCAGTAAACTAAGAATGGTCCTTATATTTTTAAAAGGTTGTTCTAAAAAAAAAAGAAAAGATAAATATACAACAGTGATCTTCTATGACGTGCAAAACATATAAAAATATTTACTTTCTGACCTAATATTTATCAAAAGATTATAATACTAAGAAATAGGGTAAACAAATCTTGTTTTAATGATTAGAATGTCTTGATCCTTTAAAGTTAATTCATTGCAGTTAACTTATTGGGAATGTGAGCAATTAAGAAGTTGTATTTTGTATCAACTGTCTTTTTATATATGAAAAGGCAAGCTTGAAAAAGTTTAAATTTCCCTGTTCGCATGAGTTTTATTTTAGGGATGAGTAGCATGTAAAACAATACCTTTAGATATGAAATATTTAAAAAGTTTCTTTAATTTATACAAGTATTAAATGACAGATTTGCATATATTATTTTTCCTGTGATTAAAATTACTATATTTTTATGTTCTATTTCCTTCTGTTTAGATAGAAGCAGACTTGGGATATCCTGGAGGTAAAGCAAGGATTATTCACAAGGAATCTGATATCATTACTGCCTTTGCTGTTAATAAAGTAAGTAGATAGACTTTTTTTCTTTGATGACTAAGTATTCATGGTTGAAGAAAGTCCCGTTTTGTCAGTTTATTCAGTATTAGTATTTTTCTGTCTGAAAGCTACTTCCCATTGCCTAAATTGCAATCTGAATAAGTTATTTTATTTTATAAAATGATTATATTGTTTGATAATTATATATTGCATATGTAGGAGATAAAATAATGTTTAATTACTACACAGAGAGAATATCAAGTATTTATATATGCAGTAGCCTTGAGAATTTTATAACACATTACAGCATTTAATCCAAAGAAAAGATTTTTTATTTTCCTTATATGAATATGTTGAATGTGATTACTAATATTAGATCAAATTTAAGCTTTTATATGACTTATAGAAATTCTCTCTCTTTGACTTACAACCATAGTAGCTGCCTAACTAGTGTTTCTTTTACATTCCTTAGTTTTCTACTCAACATCTTCCTCAAAAGTGTCTGTAAGCTACTTATAGAAGAGATATAACCTTAGATACACAGTAATGTAAGGTCAAAAATTAATCATTTTCTTCTTTTCTCTTACCTAAATGCTTTACTGCACAATTTTATTTATACACACGTGCACACACACACAAATATATATATTTAAGTATGTATATCTTTTTCAAGTGTTCCTAATTTTAAAATAATTTTTAAATATTATTTAGGTAAATATTCTATGGCATTACCCCTTCATTAATCATTTCACCAGTTGTTTCTCCATCATCCTATTCTGTGTCTTTCTTTCTATTTCTCCTAGGTAGTTCCTTTGTCATTCTGCCCTCATCTTTCCCTGTGTCTTTTGTCTCGTTTCTCTCTTCTACACACCCCCAAACAGTGACTGATTCTGTTGAAGACAAGCAAGTTTGGAAACAGCCCCTTAGCTAGGCAGTTCTCAGTTCTAATATCTATGTAATATGATATATTACAGCCTCTTTTTTTTTTTTGGATGTATATAAGTAACAAAAAATGAACAATCATCCACATATATAAAATCTGTGTTCCACTATATAAGAATAGGGTACCTGTTTAATTTTTATTTCTCCTGATTTATTATTGTTTTACATCTTGCTAAATTTGTATTTGAGAAACAATACCTTTTGCTTTAAATTGCATTATTTTAAAATGTTGATGAGATTGAACTTTTTCCCATTTGTTTAGTTGTGAATTATCTGTGACAATTTTTCCCTGCATTCAAGCTAGCAAGTTAGCTTTCTCAGTTTAACGAATGCTGTAAGAAGACACAGACTCTTGGACCACAGACCATTACAGTTTATTACTAATAGCAGAAGTAGTATCCAGGAATATTAACATTTATGCTCTGGTTCCCTGTGTTCAAATTACTACAGAGTGGCAGGGAGAAGGTCAAATGATAACTGCACAGAATGGGTTGTGTATGGTAAGGAAAGGAACATAGAGTTTAGGAAACCTAAATCTCTCTAATGAACATTACATATACCTGCCCTTTGATCTGGAGAGAGACACTGTAGGTATGTAGCCATCCTCCAGAACAAATAGCAGTCAGTAAGTCGCTCAGAAAAGATGGAGAAATGGAGGGACCCGTAGAGAATTCCTTATCCATTTATGTCTGGGATATTCATTTTTTTGTTTTAGTTTGTATTAGCATTTTACATAGTGGAAATATTAACCTTGTTTTCTCTTTGCTGTCAGTATCCTGTCATTTTCTCTTTTAGAGGTGTATATTTTCAGTTCATAGATGGTTAAAATTTTAGGTCATTTAATCTCACCAGCATTTAATTTATGATTTATTCTGGCATACGTCCCCACTGTTTTTCTACTCCCTGCATCTCTTCTTTGTGACCATTTCTCAAATTGTGTTTTTCTTGTCTAGGACTGAAAAGCTTTAGGTGAAAGTGGTACTACCTTATTTGAATAATGCACCATTATTTTAGTGTGATGCTCCTTATTTCCCTCACCTTTTTCTACCTTCTAGAGCTTCTGTCTTTTTTCAACAGCTCCTTCAAATTTCTGAACTGTGTCAAAACCTTGGGGAGATTGTACCATACTAGCAAACTGGAAAGACAATGCTGGGAGAAGAAATAAAGTAGTATATGTTTTACCATGTAGAGGAGGCTTTCTGTTAGATGCTCTTGAATTCTTTGAACATAAACATATCTCCAAGATCAAGCTGAAAATAATTACACTCAAGATTTAATTATTAGAATTAATTTTAAAGAGTCGTTGGTGAAAATGCTGTCTTTTCTATATCTTAAAGTTACCATTTCTAGGGGCTATTTTGTAGTTTCCATTTTCACAAGTAGCTCATATGCATGCTTTTTTATTTAAAAGTTACCATATGATTTGTTTTTCAGGCAAATAGAAACTGCATAGCAATTGCTTCAAGCCATGATGTTCAAGAGCTGGATGTTTCTGGAATTCTGGCTACACAGATCTATACTTGGGTAGATGATGATACTGAAATGGAAAACAAAGGGTACTTTTATACTTTGTTTTTATTCAGTAACATTGTGTTAAAAATGATGATATCCACAGGACTGTAACTTTCAAAAGATATTTAGAGAAATATTCCTAGATTGTAAATACAGTGGTTGCCAATATGCAAAAGAGTGCAAAGGGGGTGGCAGGAACTTTAAAGAAAGGAATTGAGAGTTGGAAGAGAATAAAGTGAGAGGACCTAAAATTGTTCACATATGAAGTTACTGTCTTTGAGTTGGGGGTTAAGAGCTGAAGAAAATTAATTTTGGAGGGAAATAGAAAATCATATATTAGAGCTTTCATGTATAACAGAAGAAATGAAGAACTGATGGGATTGCTTTCATTCCGGTTGACATTCTTTTGTAGATCAGAAGATTTCTTGGTTATACATGCTCGGGATGATTTAACAGCTGTGCAAGGTACAACCCCATATACACACAGCAATCCCGGCACTCCGATCAATATGCCATGGCTTGGAAGTACACAGACCGGCAGAGGAGCCTCTGTGGTACGTCAAGTTAAAAATGTGATGCATAAATGTCCTTTTTTCCCCTCTAGCTTAATGGAGTAGGGGTGATCTAAACATATTTTTGAAAAATTCCCAACTTTTTAGTAAGTCATAATTGCTGTAAATTATAAATTTTGATTATGAAGAACAACATGTTTCCTCTTGAAAAAGATAAGAAAATGATTTTAAATAAATAACTTAAAATACAGAGAGTTGCGTTTTACGTAATTATTTGGAACTTATTGGTACACATCAGCCTCAGCAAGCTAAGATCTAGGGTCAAATCCTGCTTTTTTTTTTTCAACATTTTTTTTCAACCTTTTTTAAAAACTTTTTTTTAAACATTTATTTATTATTGAGAGACAGAGAGACGCAGGGGACGGGTACACAGAGGGGGAGACACAGAATCCGAAGTAGGCTCCAGGCTCTGAGGTGTCAGCACAGAGCCCGATGTGGAGCTCGAAGTCACAAACTGCAAGATCATGACCTGAGCCGAAGTCGGTGGCTTAACCGACTGAGCCCCCCAGATGCCCCTGGGTCAAATCCTGCTTACCAGCTGTTTCTGTATAGACAGCCTGCTTAAGGATAGTGTTTACATTTTTCAGTGCTACAGGAAGAATCAAAAGAAGAGTGGTATTTTGTGACACATAAAAATGATATGAAATTAGATTTCATTGTCTATAAGTAAAGTTTTATTGGAACATAGCCACAATAATTTGTTTATATTTTGTCTGAGGATTTTCTTGAGCCCTGAGTAAGATGTGATCCATGTGTAAACCTCCATGAGATTCTTTTATTAATACTTAATGATACATAGAGTCAGAGAAACCCAGCACCAGTAATTCTTTCAGTGGCTCTCTGGGGGTGAGGTTATTTTCAGTTTCCTAATTCCTACAGTATTCTTTCCTTGGCCTCCGCCACCAAACTTTTTTACTAAGAGTAATTATTTAAGTAAAGGCTTAATCATCTTTAATAATACCTGACAGTGTTTTATATTCATGTATTTATGTCAGTCATATAACCTTATTTTTTGTCATATAATCCTTTTATTCTTTGAGGTATCTGTTGAGATGGCTGTTATAACTACTCCTGCTTACCATTTTTTAGATGAAGGTTGAGTTCCAAGAAGGTCTAGTGATTTAACTTAGGTCATTATCTCAAATCTGTGGTAGAGCTTATTATATTAAAGTCTTCTGTTCCTCTTAGCTCGAGGATTTCAGGTAGGAGTGTTTTAAGTATTGAAGAATTTGAAAAGCAATATAGTAATTATTCAAATCAAATGACTTGGTCATTTATAGTTCATTTTTTTCAACTGACAGATATATTAAAATACATTAATTATAAAACTTACTGATATTACCATCTTTTAAAGGGAAACTTAAAGAGAATATACAAAATATAGACATAAAAGACCATTTTTCCAACTCCAGTTTCAGACAATGTATTACAGCTTTTCCTGTAACAGATTTCTTGCTGGTCTCTGATTCCATACTTGCTCCCTCTGTTCTGTATATAGCAGCCAGAGTTGCTGTTTCCTAAGCATCATTTAGGTTGTCACTCCACTGTTTATTTTACTTGTTTGATTGATTTTTAAGTAGGCTCCATCCCTATTGTGGGGTTTGAACTCACGACCAGGAGATTAAGAGTCACGTGCTCTCTTACTCCGGTGTTTAAAACTTTCAAATTTCCTGGTACAGCTTTAAAAAAACAAGTCCCTAACATGGCGCTAAGGTCCTGTGTGATTCGACCCCTGCCAGCTTCTGCAGCCTCGTCCTCTGTTCACTCCATACCTGATTCACTTTGCTCTGCTTACAGTGGCCTTGTCTCCATCTCTGGAAGCATGAAGTGCACTGCCCTGTCCACAGCCTTTGCCATGCTTGCTGCTTCAAATACTCTTTTTTCTTTTTGACCTTTCAGATCTCAACTCACATTCCCAGAAATTTCCCTTGCTTCCTTAGTGACAGCATCTGCTCCTCTCTCCCCTCCCCGTAGTCACTCAGTATCATATTATCCCATTTTATCATATTTATGGCCTTTATCAGTTTTGAAATTATCTGTTTATTATTTAGTTGTCTTTTTTGGGTAACGTTTATTTATTTAGTTTGAGAGTGAGCATGTGAACAGGGGAGAGGCGGGGGCGGGGGGGAGAAGAAGACAGAGAATCCCAAGCAGGTTCCACTGTGTCAGTGCATAGCCTGACGTGGGGCTCGAACAAAGGAACCGTGAGATCATGACCTGAGCCGAGATCAAGAGTCAGATGTTTAGGCCATTGAGTCACCCCAGCAGCCTTTTCTTTCGTTGTCTTTTTTAATGGTGTAAGTTCCCTGAGAGATTACATTATGCCTCCCTTAGACACTGATGATCTCTAACCAGAATAGTGTTTAACATATAGTCAGTGCTCAGAAAATACTTGTTTATACTCCAAAGCATTATAATACAGAAATTTACCTTTGTCATTCCTGTTAGTACTGAATTTTCTTTCTGTCTGCATCTTACAAGGACATGTTTTTAATGGAGATGATCGTGATTTGTAAGCATAATGAGCTGATCGAGCCCCACTTCATTAAGTAAAAGACCCAGTATAATACAATGGTTGTTTTTTATATGGATCTTCTAAAATAAGTAACAATTTATTTCCTTTATAATGTTCTGTACATGCTCTGAGAGATTTTTTAAACCTCTGTTTATGTATTTTTTTACTTATGGTTTTTCTTGGATACTTTAGTCGAAGGAAAAAGAACAGGAGTATTTAAGCATTTCTTAATTAAAAGGAACATGAGATTTCAACACGAAATTTACTAAACAAAAGAAACATTCAGCAAGTTTTCTTTTTTTGTGGAGGATTAATAAAATATTTTCTTTACTGATTTATTCAATTACAAATTCGAACAAAAAAGAATAGTTGTCATGACCAACTTCTGCTTTGGGAATATAATCACAACCATAAACACCTTTTTGTGTTTGTGTCCTTCACCATTTGTGCTGTCCTGCTCTCTTCCCTCCCTACCAAATCCCCACTTTACTCACAACTTCAGTGTAATGGGAAGTTTAAAATTCACAAGACAACAACAAAAAAATCTACTCAAGACTGATGCTACAAACCTAAGATAGCATATAATTATACTTATGGTGCTATATAACTAGGAATTGTTCTATTAATTAAAATTATCCCTTTAATTATGCATATTTATTCTTATTTGACAGGCTACTTAAATCATTCAAAGCATGACTTAAAAATGGATAACTAAACAATTCCAAACTAGCAATTAAAAATTTATACAATTTCTGTTTACCTCTTTTTTTTTTTTCACATGCTTCTGCCTGTCTTTTTAACCTTATACTATTCAGGATTATTCCAATAAATTTAATGGGATCAGAAAAGAATTGGCAAGAAAGGAGGTAAGAGTAAATTCTCAAGGTGAATTTGTTCTTAGAGCCTTGTCAGTGATGCAGAAAATGTATGTATACTTAAATGTAAGAGAGCTGAGCTATTAAGTTTAATTTCTGCTAACCGTGCTTGGTATTTTTAGCACCCATAATGGTAGTTATGGAATCACATAAAAATAAATAAATAGATGTTATTTGAATTTCCTGTCACAATTTGTATCTTTAATACTACTTTTTAGCATAACTATAGAAGAACAATTTTTCTTTCTTAACAGATGATTAAGAAAGCCATTAATAATGTCAGAAGAATGACTTCTCATCCAACTCTTCCGTACTGTAAGTTGATCATAATTAGCCCGTGTTCTAAGCAGTTTAAAGGAAGCTTTTAGTTTCAATTGAAAGATAGTCAAGTATTTTACTTTTTTTGTAGAGAATGTGTGCTAGTAAATAAAATCTTCATTTCAAAATTAGATAAAAATAGAAAAAGAAATTTTCTGGAATTAATAGAGAAGGCTAACTTGATGCAGTAAATTTTTACCATTTTGACTGCGTATTTCTAAGTTAGCACATTTTATTTTTGAACATTACTGGTTATTATTTTAATAGGATCACTCCCATATTTTATTAAGTAAATTAGAATGATATTGTGGTCACTTATTGCCTCATCATAATCAATTTGTATTTTATTAATACTTTGTCCATTTGCCTTTTATCAGACACACTAATTAATAGTAGGCATAGGAAATGGTTAGTCATAAGTTCTTATACTCTCAGGCAGGATATGATGTTTTCAGTTAATTATTTCAGTTATAGTAATAAGCATAGTGCATGTTAATTAAGAGGTACTCATGTCCCTTCAATTTAATAACATATAAAAAATTTTACTGCTTTTTTTTATGAGAGATACTCTGATAAAATACAGTTGACAAAACCAGTGTCCTTTTCTTCTTCACTGTTCTAAGTGCCACAAGCACCTGTTTTCCAAATTATATACCATATCTAACAAAAGGATTCAAGGGTTTATATTTAAAATGAAGAGAGTAACTTTTGTTACTTATACTAAAGGTATAAAATAATCTAAAAATTAATCAATGTTTTTACTACATGGATACCACCTTACCACTGATAATTATACTTAACATAAATTGAGTCCTACATGTTAGGCATATTTCTAAATGATGTATATGGTTTATCTCATTTCCTTCTAACAACTGTCCATTAACTTATATATCATTATTCCCCTTTTACAGGACAATATGAAATAGGCTCAGGGAGATTAAATAAGGTTCCTAGTATCACCAAATTAGGAATTGGCAAAGTAAAGAATTAATAATTATTTAGCTTATTCATATTCCTCAGTGAAACATACAACATATATTTGAGCTATCTGGTCAATCAGAATAAGTATTAGAAGTGATATCTTTCTTTACCATGCATGACGTTCAAGACTTCCTATAATCTTTTTTTTCCCACAGAAAATGTATACATTTAAACATTAATAGTATGACTGATAAGAAATGACTCATTTGTACACCCAAGAGTTTGTTAACTGGTTATTGCACAAAGTATTTATTAAAGGCTGTTAAAACCTCTTTGAGATAATTTCAAAAGGAATAAAATTCTTAGAGGTCTGATTTAATTGCTTCTGCCATGTAGTGTTTAGTCAAATGAAAGTCATCATAAAACTGTTTTTAAGATTCAAAATATTCAATTGAAATTTCATAACAATTGACTGTGATTTATTTCATAGGTGTCTCTGTCATAAAGGTTTGCACATTGGATTCACAAATTAACTTACCAAAGATTCCTGTAATAAATTGACAATATTTGTCCTTTTTGCAGATCTGACAGGAGCTCAAGATGGAAGTGTCAGAATGTTTGAATGGGGCCATTCTCAACAAATAACCTGTTTTCGATCTGGTGGCAATTCAAGAGTTACAAGAATGAGATTTAACTATCAAGGAAACAAGGTAGCATATGAAAATGTAAATGGGAATATGGTTTGATTATGTTGGAGGTTTATAAATGTTACTAGTCTGGGTTTCTGAAGAGAACAGCTCAGTGAACTTACGATAAAGTATTAATCCATATGAATGCTGTTTTATAAAATTCTTCCCCAAGAACACTTAATGTTCAGTTGGTTCTTTCTGGAACAACATTGTGTGTGTGTGTGTGTGTGTGTGTGTGTGTGTGTGTGTGTGTGTGTGTGTGTGTGTGTGTGTGTGTGTGTGTGTGTTTGAGTGTGTGTGTTTGAGTGTATGTGTATGTCTGTATATATATCCATTAAAATTCACTTAAGTGATGCTTAAGGACCAAATGATTATAGGACCGCCATATATTACACATTTTTTATAAAATACTTGTACTTTCTTTGTCCTCTGGAACCTAATCAAAGTACGGACAAGTAGTGAGTAAAATCTGGGGGCTTATTAAAAATACAGATTACTTTACTGCAGACCTACTGAATCGCTATCTGCATTTTAATCAGATTCTTTTGTGATTTATACCTACATTAAACTTTTGAGGACTGCTTTAGAACAGGGCATCAACAAATTATGACCTAGCCATATGTTTTGTAAATAAAGTTTTACTGGAACACAGCTACCTCACTCATTATTTGTTTTCATGACTACTTTTCTACTACAACAGTGGAGTTCAGGAAAGCAAAGACTTTATAGATAGCAAGCCTACTATATGCCCCTTTAAGAAAAAGTTTGCCGGCCCTGCTATAGAACTTCTACTGTCTTCACTTCGCACAGTCCTGTTTTCATCTGACTGCCTCTCTGCTCCCCTTGCATCTCACTGTCCCTTTAAACAACAATTAAAGGAGAAGTCGGGCTGCTCTTCATCTTCAGAGCCATGCTTCACGGAAAACACACAGGGGCCTCTCAGATGGGCCATCTTGCTTTTCCTTTCCTCTCAACTTACAAACCTTCAACCCCCCTCGTGTGTTGCTCGTATCATGGTGCGGTGCAGTCTTTTTGCCTACCATATTCATCACTTAGCTCTCTTACCATTTCACAAAAGTCAATGGTAATTTTTGCATGTAGCTATGAAACAAAGTTTGAGAGAATGTGGATTCTTAATATCAATTAGCAACGTTCTTTACCCTTTAATGGGAAATTGAGGGTACTTAATCTAGAAGCTTTTAGAGTACTACTGTAATTTCATTTGTGTAACGTATACTCGTGCTTTTTTATTTTGTTACTATTATATTGCTCCTTAACTAGTCCCTGTACCTCAACCGTTACCTTTCTAATGCATCCTTCATGTTGCCAGCACGGCATCATTTGTTATTCCGTAACAAATAACATAGTTACATAACTACATTATAAGGGAGATGAACATGACTGTTCAAGAGCCTTTCAAGGCTCCTTATTATATATGAAGCCAATATTCTGTTAAAAAAATTTTTTTAAACGTTTATTTTTGAGACAGAGACAGAGCATGAATGGGGGGAGGGTCAGAGAGAGAGGGAGACACAGAATCAGAAGCAGGCTCCAGGTTCTGAGCTGTCAGCACAGAGCCCGACGCGGGGCTTGAACTCACGGACCGCGAGATCACCACCTGAGCTGAAGTCGGACGCTTAACCAACTGAGCCACCCAGGCGCCCCTGAAGCCAATATTCTTTACCTTGCCGTTCAGTACCTTCTACAGTCTGAATTATTCTATAGACTTAACACTCAGTATAGCCTTCCACTTAACACTCAGTATAGCCTTCCACATACGCTATTTTAAAGCACAGAAAACTTTTCCATTGCCTACCCGAGTATATTTAACAGTCAACTTACCATTCATTTACCTTGGCCATGATGGAGCCAAATAGCATAACAACTAAGCATACTATCTCCCTTAGTAGGGAAGGCTACTACAGTAAATAGAACAGATGACAGTAATGCTGATCAATTTGTCAATTATGAACAGAAATGGGCTACCAGAATTCATTGAGCCTAAAATAGGCATTAAGCAGAGTAAATGACCTGTGAGAAACAATTTTCAGGAAGATACTACATTCTTTTTTATTATTCAAAAAAAAAAAAATTTTTTTTATGTTTATTTACTTGTGAGAGTGAGAGAAACAGAGCATGAGCAGGGGAGGGGCAGAGAGAGAGGGAGACACAGAATCCAAAGCAGGCTCCAGGCTCCGAGCTGTCAGCACAGAGCCCGATGAGGGGCTCAAACCCATGAGCTGTGAGATTGTGACATGAGCCAAAGTTGGATGCCTAACCAGCTGAGCCACCCAGGTGCCCCTTCATCTGCCAATTTTATTTTATTTTATTTTTTTTTTTTTAATTTTTTTTTTCAACGTTTATTTATTTTTGGGACAGAGAGAGACAGAACATGAACGGGGGAGGGGCAGAGAGAGAGGGAGACACAGAATCGGAAACAGGCTCCAGGCTCCGAGCCATCAGCCCAGAGCCCAACGCGGGGCTCGAACTCCCAGACCGCGAGATCGTGACCTGGCTGAAGTCGGACGCCTAACCGACTGCGCCACCCAGGCGCCCCTCATCTGCCAATTTTAAATGATGTCATTTGATAAAGCTTTCCCATTTCTAGATACATATTGTACGTAAATACTCAAAGATATATGTATCAGAATATTTAAAGCAGCACTTTGTAATCAGGAAAATTAGAAACTATAAGGGAGAAGTTTTCAAAAGTTATAATACAACTATATAGTGTAATACAGCACAAGAATGAAGTAGATTAAATGTACTGATGTGAAAAGATGGCCATAATAAGTCAAAAATGTAATTGTGGAATTGTGTATTTATTATTATTTTAATTTTTTTTTATAAAACCCTATATGTGTGCATGTTTGAATAATCAGAGAATAAATCTGAAATGGAACACCTTAGATTGTTAATAGTTGCCAGATATGGAGATGGGAGAAGGCAGGAGTTCAGAATAGACATTTATTTTATAAACTGTTAAGTAAACATTATTTTTGTAATCTAAAGAAAAAAATGTTTAGTCTTATTCATCCTTCTAGATTTGTGACATATACTTCCCCATTGTATAATTTTGACATTTTCCCTCTGAAATTACCTTGAGTTTCCATAGTAGGAATTCATTTACTGTAAAAATCTGTGTTTCATTTTACTTTCTACTGTTGTTTGCATGTTTTCCTTACTGAATATTCTAGAAGTCCTTATTTTGTCTTTTTGAAAATGAACAGTTTTCTATTATATATATCCTAAAAGTTTGTTGTCACATGTCTTAATGTGTAAATCCAGTATCCTATTTTTTTAGTACTTTTAGAGAATATATAGACTATGCTCTTGGTTAGTATAATACAATGTGTCTGTTTGTTTCTTCTGTGTCACCTGGAATTTTTTTTTAAGCAGCAGCTAAATGTTTTTCTGGACTAGATCCATGCGTAGGTGAAGTAAAAGTCAATTTATCAATTAAATGTTTAAGATCAAAATAGGAGATTCACAGTGAAGGTATGGGTAGATATACTTAATACTTAAAAAAATTTTTTTCTCTAAGTTTGGAATAGTTGATGCTGATGGATATTTAAGCCTGTATCAGACAAACTGGAAATGTTGTCCAGTAACTGGAAGCATGCCTAAGCCATACCTGGTAAGCCAAGTTTTCTTACCTTTAAACTTTGTTCAATTTTTATTTTAAGGAAAACAAGAATATATGTTTGAGGCAATACATATTAAAGCCAAAATGTAGTTCTGTGTATTCAGTCACTTTACTATAAACTCCTGTCCTTGTATTATGTGAAAATTAATCTGTGAGGTCTTGGTCTCTAGTGCCTTGGACGATTAATGTGTATAGAACAAACATGGTACCTCCGGAGACCCATGTGACCTGTGGGTTACTCAAGCCCTTTTCCAGCCTCACTGAGCTGCAGTAAAGATTATACCTAAAAAGAGTGATCATCAGATCATCAGTCTGTGGTTTTTCTGCAATTGGTCCCCTATGAACAAAGTAGAAAGGATATGTTATAGCTGGTACTATTATTTTCTTGTCTATGTCTTTGGAAAAAAGAAAAGAAAAGAAAGAAACAACTGATGATCTCTATTCAGGACTGCACAAGCTTCATGAACCTCCTGTAACTTCACAGAGCAATGAGTTTGGGGGCAAAAAAAACCCACTGAGTTTGTATTTAATATATTCTTTAGTGAAGCCCTTTATAGGATTAAGCAGTACCTATTTAAAAAAACCAAGAAATGGGTTTAGGTTCTGGTAATTCACTCAAGGTTATATTCTGGAATACAGTACCGATCTAAGTAAAAGCAAGCAAAGCAGAGAGGGCTGGTGAGGTATTTCAAAAGAATTTTTTTCTTTTTTAAAGAAAACCAACATAAGGTTTAAATATGTAAATTTACATTCCCTAAGGGTCTGCCTTTTTTTTTTTTTAACATCTAAAAAGATAAATTGGATTGAAAATGTACATTATTGGCTTTGTGGGGTTAAAGTACATTTTGTTTGTTTTAAGGACATATGATCATCCAGCTCCAGTGATGGTCAGATGGAATGGGGAAGTGACTCAAAGGAAAAATATTTGATGTGATAATTTTGACATACTTAAGTCATATTTTATTGAAGAGAAATATCTGAACACATAAAACTTGGAAGACTTTATAATTTGCTAAACCTCTCATATTAAGTCACTGTTACTGGAATATTCAGAAACGTAAATTTTCTGAATTTGTTGACTCTTAATATGTTTTTATTCATGTATTTGAAAAATTATTTAAAAGCTTAAATATTTCTGAAAATAATTCATTCTCAGATAATCTAAAATTCTGGGTTTTTTCTAAGAGACAAATTTTCACAAATATTCTAAGAAATATTTAACATTTAATCTCCTTTTGTTTTCTTTTTAACTTTTAGATGAACAAAAGCAAAAGGTCTCATTAAGAATTTATAATGCAGCTTATTTATATGGTCCAGGGAAAGTGCATGTGAGAGAGAGAGAGAGAGAGAGAGAGAGAGAGAGAGAGAGAGAGAGAGGGAAAGAGGAGGAGGGACAAAACAAATGTGGCAAAATGTTAAAAACTGGTGAATCTTGTAAAGAGTATATGAGAATTCTCTGTTTTACTCTTGAAACTTGTCTACAAGTTCAGGGTGAAAAAAAGATACAAGGGGATTTAAGTAAGCCACACATTACATGATCCCTTTTGGTGAATGCATCCACTTGGTTATAAAATTGTTACTGACAGCAATAACATTTGTTTCTTCATAACCATTCCAGACCTGGCAGTGTCATAACAAAACAGCCAATGATTTTGTCTTCGTTAGTTCCTCCTCTTTGATAGCTACAGCTGGTCTTTCAACTGACAATAGGTAAGAGATTGTAACTGAAATGTAAGTGTGTCTCTCTAAAGCTCAGCTTTATTTCTTATTTGCTTTACGTTCTTATATCTCAAGATTGTTTTCAGAATTGTGCTTTTCAATATTTTTATTATAAAGATTTCCTTCTTAGAGCATTTTTAGTGTTCTAATTGTAAGGCCAAGGAAATTCTGGTGCATTAAAAACAACATCCGTTCCTTCTGTATTTTTAATATTCTGATTTTTTTATTTTAAGACTTAAAGAGAAAAATGATTTGATAGTGAAATTAATTTTTCTCCGTATTATTCCTTATGTGTTAAGAAAGCTTGAGGCAAAGGAAAGAACCATTATTTCTTGACCCTGCTCTTCTGTTAATCCTCACAGTGGCTCTCTTAGATAGATATTACCAGTGTTTCACGATAATGAGAAATTCAAAGACCTCTTTGAGTTGTACGATAGATAGTAAGTGGCAGCCTGTCCACATTTCCCCCAAAACCTTAAATAGGTAAGAAAATGTCTCCTCCTGCCTCCGTCTCCACACCCCCATGTTTTACTTCCCTCACACTGCTGAGTTCTGAGGTAAATGTCTACTGAGGTTGCTGAGTTTTTCTATTTATTTGTGAGGCCTTACTTTACACTAGAAATTGGATTGTAAGAATATGGAGTCTCCAGCCCATCTGCCATAGAAATCCTTACATATATTTGTGTCTCTTCTGTAACTCATAGAACGGAGTAAAAGTGCTCCCATTCAGAGCAGAAATAAGTTTTATTTGTGCTCGGGGAAATTCAGTGTATCCTGCTAATGGTATTTGCCATCTGTTAGGTTACAGAATGAGCAGATACAAAAGGTATTTCCCATGTTCAGACTTCATACAGTATTATTTGTAAATACATGTCAATCTAGAGTTAATCAGTTTTGTAAGTTAGTAGTTTTTAAATTTTTGTGTAAAAATTAATCATACATAAATATATTGGTTACTTGTATTTGAATTTTTTGTTAGAGCAAGGTTTGAATGTTATGTAACTATATGAAACAAGCTTACTTTTTATTCTGTTGTTAAATTTTTGTGTCACTCAAAGGTAATTTTTTTTTTTTTCAGAAATATATGTTTGTGGGATACTCTTGTGGCACCTGCCAATAGTTTAGTCCATGGTAAGTTTTGAAAGCATTTTACAAATTTTGAAAGTCAAGAATTTGACTAAAATCAATAAAGTAATTTTTTAATGAATTTGTCTTTAATGACACAAACTTATTAGCCTGCGAGGTTTATTTTGCCCATGATGGCGTAGAGTTTAAAAACAGAAAAATACAACGTATATAATTAACTTTGCACTGTACTTCATGAAGGACAGTAGAACATAGATCATATAAAAATCATATGTTTTTACTTTGAATCTGATAGCCACAGGTCATCTTTGTGAGCATCAGTTATTGTACAGTATTATGCCCATTCTCTCCACTCCTATTCAGAATGGTACTCAGAGTCCTAACTAATGCAGTAAGACAAAAGGAAATAAAAGGTACACATTAGGAGGAGAAGAGATAAAACTGCCTTTATTCACAGAGGACATGATTGTTTAGAAAAAAAATTTTTTTTAATTTTTTTAAATGTTTGGGTTTTTTTTTTTGAGAGAGAGACAGCGTGTGAGTGGGGGAGGGTCAGAGAGGGAAATACAGAACTTGAAGCAGGCTCTAGGCTCTGAGCTGTCAGCCCAGAGCCCAACATGGGGCTCAAACTCACAAACTGTGAGATCATGATCTGAGCTGAAGTTAGCCACTTAACCAACTAAACTACACAGGCACCCTGATTATGTAGAAAATCTTGAAGGCTATATACAAAAAAACAAAACAAAAATAAGGTAAAAACTTTTGAAACTAAAGTGTAAGTGTAGTAGAGTCACAGGATACCGGGTCAACATACTAAAGTCACTTGCTTTCATATATACCAACAATGAACAATTGGCATTTGAAATTTTAAAAAATCACCATTTATAACAGCACCCAAAATAATACTGAGGCATAAACCTAAAAAAATATGTATAGCTTCCATTGGGGAAAACTATAAAAAAGATAAATCAAAGATTTAAATAAATGGAGAAATAGCCCATATACACATATTGGAAGTCTCAATGAAAGTTATTAAGATGCTACTGCCTCCTAACTTTATAGATTAAATACATTCCCAGTCGAAATCCAGGAAACTCTGTTGTACATACCACCGAACTGGTTCTAACAATTTCTGTAGAGGGGGTGCCTCAGTGGCTCAGTTGGCTAAGCATCTCACTTTGGCTCAGGTTATGATCTCACGGCTTGTGGCTTCAAGCCTTGTGTTGGGCTCTGTGCTGACAGCTCAGAGCCTGGAGTCTGCTTCGGATTCTGTCTCCCTTTCTCTCTGTCCCTCCCCCTCTCCCGCTTGGTGTATGTCTGTCTCTCTCTCTCTCTGTTTCTCTCTGTTTCTCACACACACAAAATAAACATTTAAAAAAAATAATAAAAATAAAAATTTCTATAGAGAGGCAACAGACCTAAAATACTGGATACTGAAGAAAAACAAACTTAAAAAAATTTTTTTTTTGTTTATTCATTTTTGAGACAGAGAAACAGCATGAGTGGGGGAGGGGCAGAGAGAAAGGGAGACACCGAATCTGAAGCAGGCGCCAGGCTCTGAGCTGTCAGCACAGAGCCTGACATGGGGCTCCAACCCACGAACCGTGAGATCATGACCTGAGCCAAAGCTGGATGCTTAACTGACTCAACCACCCAGGCGCCCCTGAAGAAAAACAAACTTGAAGGACTCACACTATTATTGATTTCAAGACTTACTATAATAATAAACACATGTTATTGGCTTTAGAATAGAGATCATGGAACAGAATAGACAGCCCATTTATCAACCCATACGTATTTAATAGATTGATCATTAATAAAAGTACAAAGGCACTTCATTGGAGGCATAGTGGTCAAAATATACTATAACAATTGGATGGCAATATGTAGAAAATGAACCTAGGTACATACCTCACCCCTTTCATAAAAATTGATTTAATGTGAATTATCTACATGTGAAATTCAAAACTATAAAATTTCTAGAAGGAAATAGAGAAGAAAATCTAGGTGACCTTGGGTTTAGTCTTGAGTTTTTAGATACAATACCTAAAGCATAATCCATGAAAGAAATGATATATTCAAGACTTTAAAAAATGACCATCTTCTCAGTATATTAATGGCAAGTAAGCATATGAAAAGGTGGTTAACATGATCATAAGATACTACTCTATATACTAAAATGTCCAAAATTAATGATTTTGGAATACCAAGTATTGGTGAGAGTATAAAGAACCTGGAACCCTCATGATTTGCTGAGTCTAAAATGATTAATGGCAAGTAAGCATATGAAATGTGGTTAGCATCATCATAAGATACTACTCTATATAGTAAAATGTCCAAAATTAATGATTTTGGGATACCAAGTATTGGTGAGAGTATAAAGAACCTGGAGCCCTCATGATTTGCTGAGTCTAAAATGATACAGCTACTATGGAAAACTGACATTTTCTAATAGAGTTAAACATGGACCTAGCATGATCCATCCGTATGTATTTTTACATATATGTCCAAGAGAAATGAAAGCACACATCCACAGAAGGACTTGTATAGCAATAATATACAATTATATTAATATATTAATGTAATAAAACTTAGCAGCTTTATTTATAACAGCCCCAAACTAGAAGCAACACAAACACATCCAATAGGAAAGTGGTCTATTTATGTAATAGAATACTATTAACCAATAAAAAAAAAAGCATAATCTGCTGATATATGTGACAACATTCATTAATCTCTTAAACATTATGTTGAAGGAAAAGAAGCCTGTCACTAAAGAGTATGTACTGTAAAATTCCATTTATGTGAAGTTCAAGAACAGAGGCAAAACTAATTAGAATAGTGATTGCCTTTGTGGGAGAGGAGGGTTGACTGCAAAAAGGCATGAGGGAACTTTCTGGGATGATGAAAACATTCTGTGTCTTGACCTGCATGATGGTTACACAGATGTATCCATTAGTCAGACTTCATCACGAGTTAGAATTTCAGCATTTTATTCTGTGTCAGTTATATCTCTAAGTGCTGGTCACATTCAAAGAATCTTTCCCTGTAATTTTCTCTTTAGATTCTTAGAGTAATTGTAACTAAATTTTATTGAGTACTTAGTATATGCCAGGAACTGTACATGTTTTAAATATGTCAACTAATTTAATCCTCACAGAAACCTATTAGGTGGACTGGGTTTTCTCCTTTTTTTTTTTTTTTTTTACAAATGATGAAACTGAGACGTAGGTTAAAAAAAAAATTACCTAAGGTATATATTGAAATCCATGCAAAAACCAAGATTTAAATCTTGACAGTCTAACTCCCAAATCTTCACTCTTCATCATTATGCCATATTGTCTTTGAGCTATTGACAGGCTTTTTTTTTTCTTTAAGATTTGTTAAGATCCACTTCTTTTTTAAGAAAAGAATACTCATTGTATTTTTGTTAGTTCTCATACTGGTATGTCTTCAAGTTTCACCATTTTTGTTTTTGCATTGTTTAATCTGCTCTTAACCCCATGTAGTACATGTTTCATTTGACTATTGTAGTTTTTAATCTCTGGATTTTTTTATTTGTATCTCTTTTTTAATGACTTGTTAATTTCCTTATCTACTAATTCCATCACCTGTGTAATTTTTGGGTTAGTTTCATTGGATGGATTTTCTTCTCATTATGGGTTGTATTTTTCTCCTTTGTATGCCTCTTGGTTTTTTATCAGATGCCAGGCATTACAAATTTTACCTGCTTCTGAGGCAAAACCCTTCTGAGGACAAAACAGATTTTGTCCTTTGTGAGTTAAGAGGTTTTCCACTATGGCTGGTGGAAACAGGAACCCAGACCAGCTCGGGTTCCCCTTGCGCCATGGCCAGAAAACCCTCCATAGGCAATAACAGGGGCAGTCGTATGGCTCACCCAGTTTGCTTCCCATCTCTTAGAGATCATTTTTCTTTGCCTGGTGTCCATTGTCTCCAACCATTGTTTCCTGTATATCATTTAATTTTTTAAATGGTTTGAGGTAGGTGGGTGAATCTGGTGATCTATCATTCTACCTTGGCCAGAAGTCAGAAGTCTCTTGCTTACACTGTTCAATGGGTTTTACTTCATGATTTACTTCAATTTTAATTTTCAGCTTTTACTTGCCATGATAGTGGAGCTACTGTTTTAGCGTATGCTCCAAAACACCAGCTACTAATATCAGGTGGCAGAAAAGGCTTTACATGTGCATTTGACCTTCGGCAACGACAGCAGAGGCAGCTTTTCCAGAGCCATGATTCTCCTGTCAAAGCCATTGCCATTGATCCAACAGAAGAGTACTTTGTTACAGGATCTGCTGAAGGCAACATAAAGGTAAATATGGTAATGCCACAGTGTCTACAAAATGAAGAGAAATCTTCAGAAACCTTAAGTGTTTACACGTATTAATGATACCATTCTATTTAAATAGTAGAAATATTAACTCCTTTGTAGGCAGTATGTTTGTTGCTATTTAATAAATCTTTTAATGAATGAAATAATATTTAACTTGAAATTGTCTCTTTTTCAGTTTTCAAATAGGCTTAATGTGCAAAAGCACTTGATTTTCCACAGATAAAACATATTTCAAACATTAGAATTAGTCTTGACTCCCATTTTCAGAGTTACCAAATTCAGTTTCAGATACTGTGAAATGCAGTAATATTTTCCTTTATCCTGAATACTGTCCATTTTTTCATTTATATAGTATTAGCATCCAGCCACTCAGTGCCTGATTCAGAAGTTAGGGACGTACCTAGATAAGCCCTGTGCTTCTCACACTCCACCATGTTTAAAACTTAGAGGTTATTTAAAATGTTAAGCAGCTTATTAAATGCATCCCATCCCAGAAGTACTATTGCTAGGTACCTGTGTGCATTTTTACAGTACATACCTAACAGTTTTGTTGGAGAGTCCTCTGGCCACACTTGGAAAAATCTCTAGGGGTAAGTCAGTTTAGACTAGTCCCTAAGTTATTGTAATGGCCAGCAACCTACTGAAGGAGTCTACATTCTTAGAATCCATTAATTTAACCCCTAGTGAGACTACTAAGTAAGAATAAGTTTGGGGGTACCTGGGTGGCTCATTCAGCCAAGTGACCAACTTGAGCTCAGTCACTTGGTGAGTTTGAGCCCCACTTCAGGCTCTGTGCTGAGAGGTCAGAGCCAGGAGCCTGCTTTGGGTTCTGTGTCTCCCTCTGTCTTTGCCCCTCCTGCACTCACGCTGTTTCTCTCTCTCTTAAATTAAACAAACATTAAAATAATAAGAAGGAGAAAGAAAGAAAGAAAGAGAAGAAAGAAAAGAAATAATAAGTTGGGCTACTTTTTTTTACAACATGCATATTGTTTTCATAATTTCCAGCCAGAAAAAAAATTAACTAGAAATGTGGAATTTTAAAAATGCTTTTTTTTTTTTAATGTTTATTTATTTACTTTGAGAGAGAGAGTGCAAGCCGGGGAGGGGCAGAGAGAGAGAGAGGCAGACACAGAATCCAGAGCAGGCTCCAGGCTCCGAGCTATCAGCACAGAGCCCATTGTGGGTCTCAAAGTCAAGAACCACACGATCATGACCTGAGCTGAAGTTGGACACTTAACCGACTGAACCATACAGGTGCCCTGAAAAGGCTTTTCCTAAAATCAAATATATACACTAACTTCCATATGTAATTATTTTCCTTCAGTTTGAAGCTAGTTTCTTACTTGAACTGCCTTCAGTTTAGAACAAGTTGTATTAGTTCTTTATATTAGTATGTTAGTTCTTTATATTAGTTTGTGCTCTGATTCGGAGGTTTATTATTTAATCAAGTAAAAACAGATTTGAAAGTTTACTGCATTGTATTCAGAAGTCACAACTTGGGGCGCCTGGGTGGCTCAGTCAGTTAAGTGTCTGATTCTCGATTTCAGCTCAAGTCATGATTTCACAGTTGTGAGATCGAGCCCCAAGTCAGGTTCTGCACTGAGCATGGAGCCTGCTTGGGATTCTCTCTCCCCCACTCTGTCTCTGCCCCTTCCCTGCTCACATGTGTGCTCTCTCCCTCAAAACAAATAAACATTTAAAAAATACATGTTTAGGAATCACAACTTAACAATCAAGTCTAGAGTAATAGGTACTAATGAATTTCTTAGGAAAAAGTAAGTTTTCCAAAAAAAGGGATCTCAAAAAATCAGAACTATTTTGGTTTCCCTAAAGTTAAAATGGATGTCCTAAAAGCATTTAAGTCCGTCACATACTTGAACATGCTTATAAATTACTTTGTAAGTAATTTACTTTAGGAATAGTTGCATTTATTGTGGTAGGGGCTAAAAAGAGAAGATCTTAGTAAATTAAGTTTGCTGAAGTTGTGATAATTTATCTTGTGGGTGGAACATAGTTTTTCCTTTTCTGAGGCCTTCTTCCAGTGGGTCTAATCCCTTGCTGGGTATTATAAGGGGTTACCCCATTATAAACTACACAGCACAAGCTTTGCTGAGAGATAAGTCTTTTTTTTTTTTTTTTTGATGTTTTTATTTATTTTTGAGACAGAGACAGAGCATGAGCAGGGGAGGGGCAGAGAGAGAGGGAGACACAGAATCTGAAGCAGGCTCCCGGCTCTGAGTTGTTGGCACAGAGCCTGACACGGGGCTCGAAGTCACGAGCTGTGAGATCATGACCTGAGCTGAAGTCGGATGCCCAACCGACTGAGCCACCTAGGTGCCCCGAGATAAGAAGTCTTAATTGTAGTCCCTACAATATTACAAGTTTCTTTAGCTGTGTACACTTGACCTCCTAGTACCTAAGTTCTCATCTCCAATGCAAGGTTTAAATTACCTTTCTGTTTAATGAGTAGATTTTGAAGAATGTGATAATATCAAAGGGAATTGGGAAATTGCAACATAGTATCCAAAGGTTATGACCTTAGGCCTACACAGATTTTTTTTCCATATTTGTTTTAGAAATTCCTTCTTTGCACAAGTTTGGATTTTTAATGTAATCGTCAACGTCAATTTTAATTTTGTTTCTCATATCTTTTAGATTTGGAGTCTGTCTACCTTTACTCTTCTCCACACTTTTATCAATGAACATGCTCGGCAGTCCATTTTCCGGAACATTGGAACTGGAGTGATGCAGATTGAGACAGGGCCAGCAAACCACGTGTTCTCGTGTGGAGCCGATGGTACAATGAAGATGAGGATACTGCCGGATCAGTTTAGCCCACTAAATGAAGTGTTGAAAAATGATGTGAAATTTATGCTCTGACAGTTTGACAATAGGATGTATAATTGATTACCTATTCCCTGGAAGTGGCCAACACATACAGTGTCCACTGATCACTCTGTTTCTGCCACAGATAAACTAATGCTTTCTTGATTTCGTACTTACTTTATGGAGCTTTGCCCTGGATGCACTGATGCCTTAAAAACTAACAAGGTCATTCAGAATTAGACTATATTACCTAAAGTAGAATGTATAAGTAATACTGTAATAGTACATATTTATAGTATGTTATGCTGAGTACGTCGTAGTGTTAAAGGACTTTCGTTTCCTTATTGTTGATAAACTCTTCTGCAGAAATCTCTGTATGAATTTATTTAACAGTAAAAATACCCTTTATGTAAAGGCAGTTGACATCAGGCATCACTTGACTCACCACTGTTACTTCCTTTTTCATACATAAACATCTCAAACTCTTCTATTAATTAATGATAAATGATAATTGGGTAAGAATAAAAAACATAATGAACATATTCATTAAAAACTGTCATTAGGACTTCAGTCTTATTATATAAAGTTCTCCTCAGTGTCCTTACTGAAGCCCCAGTGTGTGTGTGTATATATGTATCTTATACATCTTACTTGAACTTAGTTTGTGTATATATCAGAGAAAACTACAAGTCTTTTCATGTGTTTTTGTGCCATAACAATTACTGCCACTAGAATAGCAACTTTCTTTGCAACTGTTTTTTTTTTCATGTTTTTTTGTTCTTCAGTTTTGAATTCCCATCCTGATTTTCAAATAATTTCAGGAAGACATCCAAGATTATTATTTTAAAGATTATCTTGAATCAGTTAAGTCTTAGCAGGCAATAACGATTCGGTGTTGGTATACAAGAGACACCTAAAAGTAAATTTATAAATTTGTCAAAGGATTTTTGAGCACCAAACATTTTACTTATATTTCTTTTTCCTTTTTAGGTGCTTTTAGTCTCAAAGTTCTGAACACCTTATAGCAGTGTTTTTAGAAACAAATGTGAAGACAGTCAAATTAAATAGATAATATTTACAAATGTAAAATACCCGCCAGATCTACCACTAATAGAAAATAAATTAAACCTTATATTTTATTATGTTTTGCCAAAATATATTATTTTACTATAAAATATGACCAAAATATTAAAAATGCACAATGCTTTTAACTTAAATGTGCTAAACCTATTTCTGTCTGTTCTGTGCTATACCTTTTCTGGTTAAAAATTATAGAAAACTTGATAAATACTTGATTTTAGCCAAGGAGACTGGAAGCAGATGGGACTAAGTGTTTAAGGGACAATTATATACTATTTAGCTTAAATATATTTTGTTAATAGGAACTATAAAAACATTTTTATGTAACAAAATATGGACAGCTGTTATCTGGGAAATTAAAGAGTCAAAGTGAAGAAATGAAGGGCTGGTAAAATGAATTTTGTAATATCCTCAGGATACTTTTATCTTAAAAGTATATTGTTAAAGATTTTGTAAATTGTATTCATAATTTTAAATGTGTTAAGCTAGTTGCAGTGAAAACACTGTCATTAATTATGTAGAGAGTTCATGTGCACATAATAACCTGTATCTATAATTGTGCAATAACAATATGTGACTATTTTGCCATGGAGAAATCTGTGACAGCATTGCAAACAATGCCATTGTTTGATACAGTTAAGCTTAAGTTATTTTTCAGTAATTTCACAAATCAAGATTCAAACGGCTTTAAACACTTTCAATGAGATAGAAGATTTATTATGCTTAATAGAAAAAAAAGGCATTGTGGATGAACAATTAAGCATTTTCATTGAGGGTTTATATGAGTAATAAATTGTGTAAGCCCATATGTATTTACATCAGAGTCATAATATTTTAAATAAACAATCATGCAGTGACTTTTTTTTTTAGCATGCTACTGTTTTAAGTAATACACAATTTTAGTTGACTTAAAGTATATGTGACATTTTAAAATAGAGAATTTCTGTATTTATATTTGGTAAAATATAGGAAGCATTGAGTAATTTCCCTAAATACCTTGCTCTTCCTTTTTTTTTTTTTTTTTAATTTTTTTTTTCAACGTTTTTATTTTTATTTTTGGGACAGAGAGAGACAGAGCATGAACGGGGGAGGGGCAGAGAGAGAGGGAGACACAGAATCGGAAACAGGCTCCAGGCTCTGAGCCATCAGCCCAGAGCCCGACGCGGGGCTCGAACCCACGGACCGCGAGATCGTGACCTGGCTGAAGTCGGAAGCTTAACCGACTGCGCCACCCAGGCGCCTCTCTCTTCCTTTTTTATAATCTTTTTAAATTAATAGGTAAGCGTTATTCAAAAATGGGGAGAATAAAAAGTTGGAATGTATATCTAAATAAAAAATGATGCACATATATGTAAAATTTCATCCACATTAATGGAATGGATACATCAAAATACATTTTTTAAATTGTGTTTTTTCTGAGAATGTGGCTTGTAATGATGGAAAAATTCACAACATTGCAAGTCTCATTTTCTGAAATGTAGAATTTTAACAGGGCTGGGAACCCAGACAGACATATTTTACTAAACCAAAAAATTTAATATCATGACAGGAGACTACAGGTAGGCTAAAAGAAATATTTGTATAGTAATAGGGAAGTTATTAATGTCCATATATACAAAGAGGACTTTAATGAATTGGGGCAAAGAGAACTTTAAGATGATAAATTATTAGAGAAATCAACTCACAGAACAGGACACTGAAAAAACCAGCAAGTATAAAATATGTTCATCCTCAGTAATGGTTAAAGGAATGTTGGGGGAAAAAAAAAGCAACAGTATGATACCGCTTTTCATCAATCAGATTCATATAAAGTCAAGTGGCAACATCAGTGTTGGTGGAGATGCAAGGAAACGGATGCACTGAAACACGGCTGCTAGAAGTACGTTCCAAAAACGTTACCTAGATTGGTGTAAACATTGAATACACATAGTTGGACTAAGCAGTCTTTTGAGAAATTATCCTATCAGGATAAAAGCAACCTTGCACATAAGTGTAAGTACAAAGATGTTTAGTGAACTACCTGGAGGGAAAAAAAACCCACCCTGGAAATCTAAATGGTAATTAGGTAGATAGTTGGATAAATTTAGTACATCCTTGCAGTGCAATATTTTCTTAACACTAAAAGCATGTCAGATTTGTATCTGTTGATCTGAAAAGAGGTTAGAAAATTTTCTAAGTAAAATGTATAATAGCCCATATTATTTCAGGGTTTTTTTAGTCCTATAGGTATGTAGAGACAAATATGTATGGAAGAATACACAAAAGTTTAACATGGGAGAAGGGAAGACGGAGGTAATATTTTCCTAAAAACCCTTTGAACCCCACTGAGCAACAGATTACCTAAGAGAGGTGTGTGTGTGTGTGTGTGTGTGTGTGTGTGTGTGTGTGTGTGCAGAAAAGCTCAGTGTTTAAACCATATAGTATTTAATGACTTTGAGAGCTGCTCTGTTGAGTGAAGTTCTTGTCAGGAATATTCTCGAGTTGTTGAGATATTTTGATGCTTGATTTACTAAAGTAGAAAGGGTAAAATATTAACCTTTGGAGTACTTAGAAAAAGTGGAACATACATTATTTAAATGTTCCTATCAGTCTTTTAGAAATGTGTATAGCTTTTGCTATAGTTAATTACAAAGCTAAACAGTTTTTCATGACTTTTTTTCTCTTTCTGCTTGCTTCATTGTCTTTTTTTTTTTCTTTAATGTTTATTTTATAAGAATGGGAAAGAGTGTGAGTGGGGGAGAGGCAGAGAGAGAGGGAGACACAGAATCCAAAGTAGCCTCCAGGCTCTGAGCTGTCAGCACAGAGCCAGATGCAGGGCTCTAATTCACAAACTGCGAGATCATGACCTGAGCTGAAGTCAGACGCTCAACCGCTGCCACCCAGGCACCCCTTGCTTCATTGTCTCTTATGTGTATTTGGCCGATAATTCAGGGAGATAATGCAGTTAGAGTATCACATGGTTTCACAAAGCTCCTGGAAAAAAAAAATTTCTTAGGTTCTCCTATAGCAAATACAGATGGGTGATAGAAACAATTTGTGTGACAACCCATTTGCACACTAGAGATGTTTACTAGTACGCAATTGTCTACCCAATGTATAGGTATGACCTATGTAATAGAACTTAAGCCCTACAGTATATCAGCCCCGAGTGAGCGTTAAATACATTTTAAAATCTGTATTCCTCCCACGTGCACGATACTTCCCAAAACTCCAGTATTTTCATCCTATTGCTTCCAGGTCAGGCTTGAGCTCCAGGATCCCATTATCAAAGTGAGGTCCAAGTGTGCATTTGGCTCCTTGAATGAGGTTCTTTGTGTAGAGTACTTCTCAGCCTAAAGACCTATCAACAAATGAGACACTTTCTGTGCCTTCCACACACCAAAGACAGTTGTGAGACAGATAATACGGCTATCTCCCATTCTAAAAGAGGGGAAATCGGATTCACAGAGTAGTACCTGGTCCATAGAGATTCGTAAGTGTAAGTGGGCACCAGTCACCAGTCCCTTGAGTAATCCTCTTGCCTGGGATTAATTCTCCACTGCTCTTGCCTCCACCATGAGCTGTTTTTTGAGGTGGTGGTGGTGGTGGTAGTGGTGGTGGTGGTGGTTGTTTAAGCGCTGAGTTAGCCTTTTTCTAAAAATGGCCCATGTTTTTAACTGAAAAAGAGTGTCAGCCTATTTCTTGATGAGAAGTTTCAGGGTTCAAAGTCCTCTTCACATTTTATGCTATCCCCATCCCTAAGTTGAATCTAGTAAATTTGCTTTTAAAAACTGTGTGTAATACACTCAGAAGAAAGCCACACCCATGCTGTTTTCTCAAACAGCCTCTTAACTACTTGAGCTACCTCCAAATTTGCTGTGGTATACCACATTAAGATTCTTAGAAACTCCAGGGGCGCCTGGGTGGCTCAGTCGGTTGAACGTCTGACTTCGGCTCAGGTCATGACCTCGCAGTTGTTGAGTTCAAGCCCCATG